GTTCCGTGTCAGTCTTGTGTGTGTGTGTGAATTGTTCTGTGTCAGTGTTGTGAGTGGCAGTCTTGTGTTTGTTTGTGACTTGTTCTGTGTCACTGTTGTGAGTGGCAGTCGTGTGTGTGTGCGATTGGGGCTCTGCCGGAGTGTGAATGGCAAACGATAGTTTGTGAAGTTGTTTTATGGTGTCATTCAACATTACCACGTGTCCATCCCTCGTGTCCATTGACCGCAGACGGACAAGGAGGGCTTCGTGGATGCGGAACGTGTGGTGCAGGTGTACCGCACGGCACTCGCGGAGTTCCTGACTCGCAGGAATAGCTCCTACAGCACCAAGATGTTTGTGGATCTTCTGCACCGCCTGCCGGTACGGTTCTACCACGCCCACAGTAGATGAACAGAGTTATTTACCCAAATGGTACATCCATTTTGTAGTCATCAACCGCTTGTGTTGAGAGCACCCAGACCACTGGCTATCTTTTATCGTCGCCCGCAATTTGTTTAAACTGCGCTTGGCATGCAGTACGTCTCGAGGTGCCAGAAACAAAAGGGATTTGTGAGATAATCACTCCGTGAGGAAGTGATTGTAGGCTAAATACATTGATCACAACACGTAGGGTATAGACAATGTACACAGCTGCATGTCGTCCCGAGACCACATAGGAAACCGGTCACGTGTGCTGCGCTGTCCACACACACTTCAGTGTCCAGCTGCATCTGTCCAGAACGTCAAGCACGTAAACGTGTTGAGTCAGCTCAGAATCCACCAGTGGACTAAGAGCTGAGAAGAGAGAGACAGAGGGAGGTGCCGAGAGCGTGGGCAGAGCGAGAGAGAGAGGAGTGAAGGAGAGAAGCAGAGGGAGAGAGAGGAGAGAGGACGCGCTTAGTTTGAGCTCCCCGTGTTAACTCTGTAAATCTAACATCACTTTTATTTAATGTATTTCTTTCAAGATTTTACTCGGCAAGAGTAGGTATTCAGCCTCTTGGGCACACACAGGGTCGTACTATTTGTGTTTATTTATTTTTCTTTACTTTCTATCGCTTAACAGTTCAGGGTTGAGGCATAGCCTTTGGAAACAGTGGTGTTTCCTAAGGCGGCACTGTGCTAAAAACCATAGGTAATTAAAGCATCTATTTCATACTTTAAAAAAATGAGAAGCAGCGCTGCTTTTCTTTGTCATCTCCGTGGCGCTGGCTCTGGCATCACAAGGGCATTTGCCCGCATGCGTACCTCTGCCCAGCGTTTCCCGTTGTGCTGACGTTTATTAAGAAAGGTCATTCGTCGTCGCTCGTGTCCTCTCTCCGCTGATAAAGCGACAATTGCTTCCCCAACTGTGCATGCGTGCTGAGCGCGGACGTGCTGGCCGTCGAATCGCGACGCTCTCGTAACGATCTTGTTTCTGCCGGCCAGTCGATGGGACTGAAGCTGCACGAACTGCTGGTCAAGTACATCGACGACGGTGCCAAGGAGCATCAGCAGGTAAGGGGGGGGGACGCCCTGTGGGGAGCACAGCCATTTGGAATTCGGAACAGATTTGTTTAAAAGCCAGGATCGCAGCTACACTGCAGCGTTGGAACAAGTTTGTTTTCATAGCATCCGATAGCAGGAATTTTGCTAATTTTTGTTGTTTTTGGTGTCACTCCATGGGAGGTGAATTACTTGGTTTACCGATGATGGAGGGGCGAGGGGGGGGGATGTACCTTGTTTAAGTTTGGTATGAGACTTAAAACGAGCTAGAGCTTTGGTTGACTTCCCTGAGTAAAAACAACCTCTGGGCCAAAACCTTACTGAGGCCTACATTTGAAATTTGTAGCTTGTTTATATTCCAAAGTATATTATTCACTATATTTTGTAACAACTTTTAAGAGTTTATCCTTTTAGAACATCGATACAATTTACATTGGTTGCTCAGCCACGAGCATCTATACCAGTGGATTTTAAACGTTACTGCAGGCAGGCACCCCTTGGGTTTTCAATCGTAAAAAAATGTATGTTAATAATATAGGTTTGATGAAACAAAGTAGTTGTACTTACATGCCCATGTTTAATTTGTGTTTCGATTTACCTTCTCACACCCCCGGAAAAAGGCATTTCACACCCCCAAGGGGTGCATGCACCCCGGGTTAAGAACCACTGGTCTATATGAATAAGAGAGAGCAGCGTATCATGGCTAATTAATGGTTTGTGAGACTGATCTCAATGGATTCTCATCTGGTACAAATAAACCTTCTTAATGTTGAGCAATTTTTTTTTTGAATCATTACCGAATACATAAATGCACGACAACACATAGGCACGAATGCCAGCCTGCTTGTCATCCTTGAACTTTGTTTTCATATGTAAGAACGCCATAAAATACACGAACAAGTACAATGTTTTCTGGGTCATGTTAGCTGGTGGTAAACAGAGTGCGTGTGTGTGCATGTACACAGGGCCAAGCATGCGTGCTGCTGCTCAAGGCTCTCCAGCAGTGCGCCGGCTTCAAGGACTCAATGAAGGAGTCAAAGAGGACCCGGCTCTATCAGAAAATCATGGATCAGATTGTCCAGGTGAGCAGGGAGAGCACACAGATGCTGCCTTCAGTTTGTATTCTTTGCCAGCACACGGAGATGTTTTAATAATCACTGCTGGATGAACGCCTTCCCCACAATGTGTCGGTTATGGGGGTTAATCGACTATACTTTTTCACGCTGGTCAGCGTGAGCTGGTGAAGTGAGGGTGGGGGGGGGGTGCGGGGTGAGGTGCCCCAGGACCAGTTCAGATATCACTCGCGACTGTTAATTAGCCGTGGAACCATGGCTGAGAATCGAACTCGGGTTGCCGGGTTCATAGCACACTGCGCTCACCAATGTGCCATTGCTCGCGTAACGTAATTCTGAGGTGCACTGGACGCACGTCCTTCTTTCCCTCCCGTCTTGGCAGAGCCTGGAGAACATGACCGATTTCAAGATGAAAACTACGAAGGATAAAGTGGTGCACGCGATGGAACTCGCAGCCTACGTGGTCAGAGCTGCCAGCCAACAGGTAGCCGAGTTTGCCGACATCGTGAGAGCGTCTGGCGCGTGTACATAACGCCACTTGCTTTGCGCAGGTCCGTGACCGTCCGCTCCCTTGCCCCGTTTTTTTTGCACAGCACTTGGACGTGACGTTGGTTCCGCTGACGGAGGCGCTGCAAGGCCTCGCCAAGGTGGAGGGAATTGGTCAGTCGCGGCAGGTGGAGGACAACCTGTGGAGGGTGCTGCATCTGCTCGGAGTCACGTACGTACGGACGCTTGGCGCCGCCGTCCCGGAGTGCGCGTCGACATTCACTCCACTGTGACAGTTTGCTGCCACCTCGCAGTGAACTCTGGCTGGGAGGGCTCTATCTCGTGCGTGTCCCAGTGCACCGATGCGACCTCTAATTGCATGCATTCTCTAAACAAAAATACGACTGAAAACGAGTTACTTGCCAAGGCACGTTTTAACCAGCGTAATGTGAATTCCTACGCAATTGGCTCTCCCTCCAATTGCGTAGGAATTCACATTTGTCGTCATGCCTCGCGAGCGTTCATTCAAATTTTTCACGTAACACGTTTCCCCTAAGCTGCGTTTCCCTCTGTTCCTTTAGACGCCCAAAAAAGGACAAAAGGCGAAAAAGGAAGAACGCTGCCGCCAGCGAGGAGCCGGCCGTAGAAGGGGAGGAGAAGACGGAGGGAGAGGCGCCGCCGCCGCCCCTTTCCAACCGGCAGAAGAAGCGAGGAAAGCTGCCCGAGACGAAGAAACGCAAAAACCGCAAGGGCAAACCGGAGCCCATCGAGCTGGCTGCCCAGGCGGAGAGAGAAGAGGCTGCCGCCGGCACTCCATCCAAAAAGCGCAAGACCAAGGGCGCGGAGAGCGCGGTGACGACGGCGGAAAATAAGAAAACTAAAGCGGCGGAGGGCGAGGGGCTTGCTCAGGGGCCACCGCAGGAAGGCGAGGAGAAGAAGAAGAAAAAGTGGAGACCCCCGAAGAGGAAGCCAAAGGTCAACATATCGAACGCGGCGGGAGAGAACGGAGAAGCGCCGAAGGAAGCCAGCAAGGGAAAGGGAGCGGGGCCCTCGAAGCAGGGCGGAGAAAAGAAGACTGAAGCTGTGAAGGGAGCGAGGAACGACGAGGTGGCCAAGGGGAAAGATGGACAGAAGAGTTCCGGGTCGGCCCAAAAAGATTCGACGGGAAAGAAACGAAAGCTGTCTCATTCTGCGGAAGGTGTCGTTGCCGCGTCGGGGAAAAAAACTCCCAAGGATAGAAAACCGTAATTGTAACTGTTCTAACGTGTAAAGAAATGCGTCCATAGAGTGTAACGTTGTCGTCCTGTTAAATTAACGTTTTAAAATCACAATGATGGTTGAATCTCGTGGGGCATGTTGTGCGTTGTTCTGTCTGCATTGTAAAGTTGTATTCTGCCATTTTGTAAAATAATGGTTTTTGTGCAAATGTATTAAAATAAATACATGTATTAAACCATTTCCCATGACTATCTCTAATCGCGAATGTGCCAAAATAAGTCAAACTGAAGTTTTGCTGAAGTAATTTGTCCTGCAACGGGTCATCTTTACACATTAGCTGGGTTGTCCCACCAAATTCACGTTCAGACAAGTAGGATGAGTTTCTCTTGAGTTACAATTTAAAAAGTCTTAACCTCGGTTCTGGATAGATCTAGCTAAGCTCTGTGCTGGTGGCAGGGCAGTTTACACTCAAAATTGGGAAAATTGTATTATTTTACATTAATATTTGGTGGAAATTCCCTTGGCCAATCATACGATGTTGAGGCCAAAGTTGCCATGTTTACAGGGTATATCCATGGCCTTATAGCCGTGACGTGTCCTGCCTGTATGTTGAACTCTAAGGTGTGTTTGACTGAATGGCCAGATGTGGCCTGGTAGTTTTGTGGTAAGGCATGTGTCAAGTTTTATACAGCAAGATGAAGACTTTGCATAATACTCGGTTATTATTTGTGGAATAACGGCCACAAGAAACACGTGTACAACAAATCTTGTATATTTAGGATGAAAAAGCAACTTTTAATCAAAGCAATTTCCATACTTTGTGTAGTCTCTCCATACGAAAAATACAGTACTGTAAAATAACTTATGAGAACATACGCTATGTACATTAACACTTTTCAAGTTGCCACTTATAGATGAGCGGAGGCCGCAAGTCTTAGCCTCTGCAATAACCCTTAAGGACCCTCTTCTCGTACTCTGCAACATCAACGTTTTTACAATTTTTGTTTTGTTGCTGTGGTCACAACACGGATCTCCAGTGTAAAAATAGTCTGGCAACTGGCTCAACGGGACCACCATTGGTGTAACAAATCCAATCCATTCAAACTGCAGAAAGCAAGCGTGTGACAAATATTCCAACTTCTCAGGACAATAATTCCCCCCCCCCTTTTGCCTCCAGTAAAATCCACGGCTCAGAGACCGGATTAACATCTCCATGGTCTGCCGAACCATTACTTTAAAGCACCCCACAGGCGAGGCGGAGTCGTCTCACCGGCGCATGTGCCACAAATAAAACCAAGCCACCCAGAACACCGCAACTTGAAATAAACGGCTTTCAGCGAACGGCACCTGACGTGCATGTATCGGCTCGCTCTGACGGCAAACGGGGGGTGTTGCCCTTGCCGAGGTCACGAGCCCAGGACACCCGACTGTAAGCACGACCGAGCGGCACTCTTCCCTGTCCCGTACCTTCTTAAGCAGAAAGAATGGCAACAGAAAGGCCGATGCCACGATTGTCATTCGACGTGCAATGCGCACAGCACCCAGGGGTAAGGCAAGGTGTGGATTATAACAAAAGCGTGTTTTGTATCAGAAGTTGCCCTTAAACTTGCTCCCCCTGCCCCCCCAACCAGTGTAATGTAAGGATGTTGCGTATATCTGAACTGTTCTTATAATCAGCTACTGACCAAGTAATCGTTTCCGTTCACCGTGCATCAAGAATAATTTCTGTAAGAGTAGTCCTAACACCTGGTATATATGATAAGAAGTGTGATTACCATTAGGCAGTCAGGCACGGCAGAGGACCTCACCAGAGCTACACATCGTCACATGCCCGATCCTGGATAAACATTCGACTGGTGGCAGCGGCAAGTCGCTAACAGAAGCCAGAGGTGTGGGATGACTAATATTGGTTCTTAGGCTCACGATACGTACCACGAATTGTGCGTGTAGTCAGCGATCGTTTATGACGTATGCAGAGTACGCTCGTATGACATCCCTTTACATTTCGGTTAAAGGAACAAACTATACAAAGAAACAATACAAATGAGATGCTAAAAGCGGGACAAAAAAATTAAATGGATCGTGAATTGACATACCACCCCGAATCGTGACAATTCACGCTTCTTTGGGTGATGGATAATTCGCAGTTTGATGCGCAATGGCCGAGCCTCCACTCGGCTGAATATTGCAGCGCAGCGTCTTGTGTGTGTGGTGGCGGGACTCGTTTCAATAGGAATCCTGTGCATGCTGTGTGACGCGCGTATCGGAGTTGTGGCCTCCGACCCCTGGCCGCCCGTCATGCGGCCGTTGTCTCACAAAGCGCAGGAGGTTGATGACGGCGGCGGGAGTGACGCCAGGAATCCTTCCGGCCGCTCCGATCTGCGGCCCAGGACAATGGCATAAAAACGACGCCCGCCACACCGACGCGATGGACCAAATCGCACAGAATGTGCCCCCATCTCAGGCGTCATAGGCAGGGTCGAGCCTTCATAGTGCTGGTCAGCTGCACGATACACTATGCAGAATAACACCGTGTGGATCCACACCCGGTCAAACAATTAAATCGTTGGCATGCTTGTATTGGCGCCATCACGAGCCACCGTCTAGAGCAGTATCACAGTCGGGGCGACGTTGTGGATTTACCCAATGCAAGAATTTGCAAGCACTTTTAATATTTGTGAAAATGTGGACCACTGGACGAAGACTCACCGTGGGCGGGCGGACGAGCGCGAGTTTCTCTCGCACCTCGCTCGAGAGCGAGATATTGAGCTGCTCATAGTCCAGGTCGTCCGGGAGCTGCAGCGCTTCGTCTCGACGGACCTCCTCGATCTCATCCTGCTGCCTCGAGGTGAGTGTGGAGTACACGGCTGGGGAGCATCAGGGGCGGGCGGGTGGGGTGGTGGTGGTGACGGTGAGGAATCGTTATTGTCTAGGCCAGGGGTGCGGAACCTATCCCTCAAGGGCCAGATACGACCTGCAAATTACTTTTAAGCGGCCCATCGCTACTTGAGGACAACCACTTCAAACGGCCCACAAACTGTCCGTCACTGCAAGCATCTTAGCAGTAATCCGGGAACTGGTGGGGAATATTTTCAAACTTGGCAACACTTCAGCATGCTCAGTCTATTTGTCACTGCAAGGGCCTCTGGCACTGATGGACGTAACGGAGGTATGTGTTAATATGCGATTGCCCGCCAGAGGTATGCGCAAGTTCGATTTGGCACTCGGTAAGGAAATGGTTTCCCATTCCTGGTCTGGGAAATTAGGTGTACCGCACTGTCTGCGTAACATGCCACTGCTTGACAATACGGCTACTCCACACTTCGTGAATGCATTGCAAGCCACGGAGCCCAATGTAACCTCATGTCTGTGCGAGCCTTGTTTTTGCCAGTTACAAAAATAGAACGAAGCATCTCGTACATGTATAGACTTGTCTGCCTCGAAAAGTGAGTTGGACGGCAGAATGACATCACGCTGCAGACACAAAATCAACAGCTTGCAGCGGAATTGCACGTGCAACGGAACAAACAGCCACTCGTCACCTTCAATCTTCATCCTCTGGCACACCTCCTGCGAGTGGGTGAACCGGGCAAGGGATTCCGGGAAGACGACCGCTATGTCCCTCAGAGTGACATTTGGCTGTTGCAGAACGAGAAGGGCACTGCGACCACAAAGACGGAGAGAAAACCCACAGTGGGACCACAGGCGCCGGCTTCTCTCCACGGAGACGGTGGCCACACGCCGGGTATGCTTGCGTGTCAACTCCATCGTTGGACGTCCACTACCTGTGTCCTTCAACAAACATTTAATGATTTTTAAAAAAACATTGCCTCTAGCAGATTACAAGAGTGGATTTTAATAGTTGTGCGTTTGTGCAAGGAGCGGTTACGTAGCGGTTAGCACGCTACGCTGTGAAGCCGGCGCACCGAGTTCGATTCCCCGAGCATGGCTATTATTAAGTGTTTATCTGAAGGCTTTACATGGATACCCGGTGCGGTGTGTAAACATCAGCAATGGGGAGATGAAGGCGGCCGGGCGTGGTGCCGGCTTTCATAGGGGCTCGTAGCATTTACCCCAACAGCCTTTATGGATTACACGGGCAATCTTTGTCTTTTTTTATCTCCATAAGCTCCCATCCGTTTACACGGTTCATACAATGACTTATTCGCACGGCGACTCTCACGTGCCTGGGGCTGTCACTGCGCGTGGTGCTCATGTCACATGACGGCAGCGCCTTCTTCCACTTGGAGGTCGAGAGGCGGTGGTCTCGGAGGATGTCGAGCCCCTCCTGGAGCTCCGTGCCAACGGAGAGGGCGCGACGGTAGCGCTCCTCACTCACGCAGCCTGCCTCTGTGTAACCTGCACAACACATAGATCCCCTGTAAATCCATGCAATAGGCTGTTGGGCCAAGGGCTGTGAGCGAGTCCAATGAAAAAACGGTATGGTGCATAAGGGGGTAGGGAGTATGGCTAGCACCGCACCTGGCCGACTTTGTCTCCCCATTGGTGGTGTTTACACACTGCACTGGGTACTCATTTTAGGCTGAGTCGACCGAACAATTCAGATATTTCATCACCGATTTAATGGCTGTGAGCGGAAATCCAACTATGGTCGTTGGGTTCGTAGCTTCGTATGCTCACCAGTGCACTACCGCTCTGTGTAACCTGCAGACTCGCACACACAAACATCTTCTCTCCCGTCCAGCCTTTACAGAGGCTGCTGGGTAGTTGGGCCACAAAAGTACCGGTCCCTCCATCTATTTCTGTCATCGCCTCTATTTCTATCATACACACACGCACGATGTACACGAATGCATATACACCAACACCCAGCTTGTACAGAGACAACACTCAACAGACACATGGGACTGCTCGTGGTAAAGCGGTAATCGCAGGGGACGCTAAATATAACGGTGCCTTTTGTTGACCCGGGAAAGGGTCATCAGGGTCGTTAAAACTATTTCGTTCAGGAGGGTACTGCATTGGAATTTTGGTGAGCTCCATTATTTAGTGGTTTCGTGTGGGAGGACAAATGGAGAAAACCACACAAATTAAGGGGTGACACTCAGAAAGCTCAATAAACCACAGCAGTAACACAATCCTAATGCAGGACTCTCCTGAAAGGCAGTCTTGAGACAGATACATTTATAATTATATCAGTGTTATTTCCCATCACAATATTCAGCCCGGGGCCTTAAGATTGTCGCCGAGTGAATTCCCGGCCGGTGTGATCATTGGCACGCGCACCTCTCGGTGTGAGGCGCTGGTCTGCGTTGTCGGGCCGCAGCGAGAGCCGGAACTCGGCGCGGCTGGTGAACATGCGGTAGGGCTCGCTGGCGCCCATGGTGGTGAGGTCATCGATGAGCACGCCCAGGTAGCCCTCCGTGCGGCTCACGACAAACGGCGGCCGCCCCGCCGCCCTCAGGCCCGCGTTTATGCCGGCTATTATTCCCTGCAGGCAGACGTAGGGAAGGGAAGAAAAAAAACACAAGTCACGATCCCGACAGACAACATCGGCTGGCCTGCATCGAACACCAGCAGCAGCCGGCAACTTTATAAATTCGAGGGAGAATGTGAGCTGCTTCATTGAGTCTTTGATAAAGCTGACAAAATTATATCGGAGAGCCGTACGGTACAGCCGCAACCCTAGACGTCGTTACTGGTCGTTCCTAGCGACCTGAGCTGCCCAGGGACCCCTGCCTCGATCTCCCTGACCTGCGCGGCTGCCTCCTCGTAGCCCGTGGTGCCGTTGATCTGCCCTGCGAAGAACAGCCCCTGCATGAGGCGCGTTTCCAAGGTTGGACGGATCTGCCGTGGGTCCATGAAGTCGTACTGCACCCCGTAGCCTGGCGGTCGAGCAAGGAAAGCAAGAGAACCGCTCCTGTTATTGTACCACAGTTCACGAATATCAGCGTTCCTCCATGCAGCCACAATGCGCTGTGAAAAATGCAAAATTAAAATCGGGCCTGGTTAGGAAACGCAAACCTGAAACTCAAGAGAGCTCAAATGACCGCTCGTATGGAGCGGTCTTGAAGGTTGTGCGAGCCACAACGCGCTCGTACGATCTTGAGGACCGCTCCCCTCCACGCCGCGTCGCGCCCCTGACCTGGGCGCAAGACGCGACAGTTCTCGAGTCCGGGGATGGTGCGCAGCAGCTGCTCCTGTAGAGGGGCAGGTAACGTCATGGACAGGCCCTGCGGGTAGATGATGTCGGAGTGCAGCCCCTCGGGCTCCAGCCATACCTGGTGCCTCCGCCCCGAGAAGCGCAGCACCTTCGCCTCGATGGATGGGCAGTACCTTGAGTAACGCAGCGCACGCGCCGTGTCAGCACGAGCGAGACGCGCACGCCGACACACACGTGTGCGTACGCACTTTTCACCAGCGATAAGCTGTGTGGGTGAATTCACATTTACGCATATCATCTCTTATCAGTTTTATTCCAATTGTGCTTTAGTTATTGTGTAATGACCCAAAGTGGTCATTTTGAGCTCTGGCTGAGAATGGCTCGCTTAAGTAGGTATTACTGAACGACTAATCAACACCCAGGGTGCTGCAGTTTCCCACATTTCCCATGATAGAGGACTTATAACCAAAGCATTGTTCATTGTCACCGGTGGTAATGAGCAAACGTCGCACTGGCACAGTCACCTTGGCCCCATTGTGGTCTCTGCCACGTGCATGGTCTGGTGAAGATTGTCCCGTATCATCCGCTCCACCTCCGGGCCCGTATGTGTCAAGTGACACACCATCTGCTCCTCGGGCTGGAGACGCGCGCACACACACGGCTCAGCCTCTGGGCAGTTCAAGGTGTTAGTGGAAAGCATTCCATACTTCAAGCGTATGCCCAATAATTCCAATTGTTGTGCTTTCACTATTATTCCTGCAGACACAAAGTTGTCCATGTGCAACCCTTGCAGAGCAGCTCAATTCATGTTAGAGAACGGCCCGCGAGGGGAGGTGGTCCTTATTTTTGACGGTACAGCTTCCTGGCTTCGCATGCCCTCCCTTGGTGAGAGCAGATGGCCAATGAAGCGCATGAGCACATCACAAGGATGCTGCGGACAGCTTACGCACACATGGAGACTCGAGTACACCCCCACAGTGTGAATGTGGTGAACAACTTCAAATGACGGAACATCCAGTGAACATCTGTCCACCGTTTCTCACTCCCCCGGATCTCTGCGATTCAATTGGTATCTCCTGAAGCTCTCAACTGGATATCAAAATGTGATAATACTGTAAAAATTGTATAATATTCCTCCACACAATACCCTCACAATTCAGGACTGAGTGCCAGGGATGATTGCAGTGAAGTAGGTCTGTGCCAACAGTCGCATTACGTGGCAGCGAGCAAAGGAGAACGAAGGAGGCTACCTTGATCCACACTTTCTCATTCATGAAGCTGAATGGAACCGGAGGGTTGTCCGGAAACTGTTTCTGAAGATCGGCGAAATTCACAGAATCTTTGGCGATCCGTGGTGGCGTTCCTGAAACATGAAAGAGGCATGTTACCGAGTACCGACGGTGAGCACATCACTCAACACGAGCTTCTTGTGCCTTCAGCGCAAGAACAGAGAGTGTGCTTAAAATGCAACCTAAAATTTCGTATAACCGTGACCCTAGGAACGTGGAATTTCCACCCCTAGCTCAATGCCACCAATGGAGACGAGCGCCACCCCCAATGCTCGATTGTGTGCCGGGTAGCAGCAGCAAGCCCACCTGAACTCATCCGTTTTAAATCCACGAAGACCGGTGATGTCATGGTGACGGTACGGGATGTGCAAGATATTGCTGGGAGGACCGAAAGTATACGGTCGTGACAGTACCTGTCCAGAAATCATCTTTTGCGTGTATTAGTAGTATTACTCTCATTTATGTCTGCGGGTTTATCATGTTTTTTTCTGCATGACGTCTCACGTTTCGTGTTGGGAACTTCTCTGTCCGCGGAGAAGCTCCCAGCGCGTGGAGTGAAAAAGTAAAACAGCGTGCCCGACAGTACGCGCTACAATCCCAAAAAACAACATCGGAAAGCTGTATATCACGACCGGGAAAACCTGCAGCGGTACCGCCAGCCAGCCTCACCCGTTTTGAGTCTGCCAACGGTGAAGCCGAGCTCCTCGAGCGTCCGAGCCAGCCCCACGGCGGGGCCGTCGCCCGCGCGCCCCGCCGGCCACGTCTCCGTGCCGATGCCCACGACCCCGCGCAGGAACGTGCCCGCGGTGATCACCACGCCGTGCCCCTCCACCCGCTCGCCGCTCCCTAGCGGCCACACGCGCACGCACACGTCCAGGGGGTCAGCGACTGGGAGAGAGGTTAAAACGTTTAGACATCATGGTCAGGCATGAGAGCGATTTGGTAAGTGTTTATTTAAATACAAATCTGAATTGGAAGGCATGTAATAATTCACACGCCAAGCAATTTAGACGAATTGTCATGATTCATGTTTTGCGATGGAGGAGTGTATAGTTTGGCCTCGTTTTTTCTGTCTCAATTGTATAATGTTGGTGGTTACCCTAGTTTCGATATAACATTACCATTTCCATTTCATATAATTCACACAGGTGGTAAATAACGATTATCACACATATTCTTGAGTCTTTCGGCAAAGCCACATAGATAGATCAGAGAATAAAAAATAATAAAAATAATAATATCACGACGTTTCGATCGCAACACAAGCAATCGTCATCAGGTGAGAAATAACGCGGGAGAGCTGCTGAGAAAATATGCTTTGTGTTGCGATCGAAACGTCGTGATATTGTTATTATTTTTATTGTTTTGTATTATTTGATCTATCTACGTGGCTTCACCGAAAGACCCAAGAATATGAATTCCTGCAGTCACGAAAGCTTTAAGTCAAGATTATCGCACACTCAATTTGATGCATTTACAGTGAGTATAAGAAATGTTATTAATTAATTGATGCATCATTACATGCCTAATAATTATGGATTTACCTATGTAACAGTAATTCAGAACAAGGGTCACACGGACCACATTAACTAGGTAACGGTACATTTCAGGTTGTGTAATAGCTGTGGAGAACAACAGTTGGAGTTGGGGTAAATGACTTCAACTCACAAGCTAAGAAGGATAAGCTGGACTGTGATGGGTGTACAGCGAGAGTCGGAGACATACCCAGAATAACTCCACGCACACGACACTTCCCCACTTGCGTCACCGCGGGCTCATCGACGATCAGGTCCTCCACAGCTGCTGTCCGCACAGTCAGGTTCGGCGTACTTAAGATCTCCTCCTGAGTTCCAGTGCAGGGGTCGAAAGGCAATGGTCACAGCTGCATTGTACGCAGGGCTCCTTACATAGTAAAAGAGCTTCATAGCTCATCGGATTTCTCCAGGATAAATAAACATTCTGATTCTATGAATCAACACAATGCCCCAAGTAAAATGATGAAATTTCAATCGGAAAGCTCCGCAAATTAGTCCATCACGGGGAATTTCCCGCATCCTCTTACAGCTTCAAAAATGATACAAGGTGCCTGAAACATATGACATACACGTCCAAAATTGTGCACTCACCCAAATGGTCTAGAGAGCGGTGAGTGTGCAGTGGTGAGTTTCAGGAGGAGCGACGGCACCTGCATATTTTGCTTGTACAACGTGCGGTCGATTTGCGCTCGAAGGCCCCACACAGCGGCGCCCTTGCGGCGGTTGAGCACATGGTAGTGCACGCCCGAGAGGTCGCACAAGCGCCCACACAGCCCGTCCAGGGCATCCACCTCACGCATCAGATGGCCCTTGCCAATGCCGCCAAACGAAGGGTTACACGACATCTCGCCTGCTCCGTAACCGTGCCAGGGAAGGTGGGCGGGGGGGGGCAGGGATCGGCGATGAGAGAACACGAGCAGAGACAGTGTGTGACCGCCTGGTAATGGAATAGAATGGTGGTGAAAGTAGCGCACAGCAACATTAGTGCTAAAGTTATTAAACTTATCACTACATAGCTGCCAACATTGAAAAGTCAAACCAGAGAGCGCATTGAGATGCCACCTTGAGTGATACAGGTATTCATATGAGAGAAGAAAAGGTGAAAACTTAGACATTGGCCGATCTGCGACGGTGATAACAATGCCAACGATGCCGATTACACGATGGCAATGTAGATTGTTGATTTTACCAAGTACAATTCTAATGCTGCCGAGGATTCCGATTGCTGAACACGCTCGGAGGAACTCTCGACGCCTCTGCCGTGCTCACCGACGGTGTCGAACTTGTGCGTGACGAGCAGCGTCCGGGCGCCCGTGCGCGCTGCAGCCGCTGCCGCCTCGCTCCCCGCGTGCCCCCCTCCCACCACGATCACGTCGAACCCGGGGGAGCTCTCCGCTCCTTCGTGTCCAGAGCTGCAGTACTGGGCACGAGACGGCCATCCCACCTCTCCTTCAGAGTGCTTCCACGTGGCTCCACGGGCCCCCGCGTGACGATTCAAGCAGCGCAGGCGCTTTGCTCCTTTCAGAAGCATCTCTGCCACTTACGGAGGTTAACAAGGGTGCATATTAATCGGATTAGTCAAAGGGTTTTCACAAACCAAGTCTAACTCTGTAAAAACGTGAAACACTGACGAGACAGAAATGTGTATGCAGGCTGGACACGAGTCACAATAATGTACAATACATGCAGAAGGTGATTTTAGGTTGCAAAGGACGCGATTGTGAGCATCACTTCAGTATTCCCATCATGCCCTGCAATGTGTCCACAGTGGTCAGGGAGGGTTTGTTCATTTAAAGCCCACGAGGCACAAGGCAGACGTAAGTATTGATGATGCATGATCCCTGATAAGGATGAAACCTGGTATAAAGTTGTTTCATTGAGCTGCAGGTGCCAATAATTATAGTCACAATTCATAATATAGTTTTCTTTGGGTTAGATCCCGTAAATGTGTCGTTAAACCCGCCACCACCCGACACACCCAATATAGTAAGGTTTGTCACGATTTGTACACTACGAGCCCGGCAAATGAACACATGCATCAGAGAACAAAACGCAAATGAGATACATTTGATTTACGTAAACGTGACATTGGGCGGGGAAATGATCAAGGATGGGATGTAGCAGGTGGCCGAGACCGGTGTCAGGACGCCAGCCAACATTGGTGGGAAATAGGAGCGGCGAGTTCGCCCGATGCGTCGGAGCGAGATGCATTGTGGCATCGCGGGACTGTGAGAGATTGCAACAACGTGGAGGGAGAGGAGGCTTCACCCAGCGGTGGACATAAATTAGCCGATGATAAAGATGACATGACGATAAACGGTGCGACCACGCGAGCGCAAGCCTTGCGAAAAGAGATGGGTAATTCTTATTCATAACTTACTTCTCGAACGCCGCGTTTAACGGCGGCGCTGTGCTCACGAAGACGGGCAAACTCTGGGCAGACCCAGGAATCCTCGGTGACCTTGCTGTGGGGTCGGTGACGCCGCGTGCACCCAGTTCCGAAATTTCGGTGGTCAACCACTTGAAAACGTCCGTCCGGTTCTGACGGGACGAGGACGGCGGGAGGAAGAGGGAGAGGAAGAGGGGGAGGGCAAACGCAGTTTGTGTGGGTAGAGCAAGTGAGTGAACCAAACAAACGCGAGCTCTACCGCTACCGAGCAAACCCTCCTATTGACGCTAAACCCCCCACCGGCCCTTTGTAAGCTTTATTTTTGTGCCGTGTGTCTCTCTGTGTGAGAGAGCGCCTCCTACGTGTGCACTCACATGTTTAGCGTCCACCTGAACTCAGCCCGAACACGTGTTCCGTTCTGCTCACTCGCTTCCGGGTCGCAGGGCGGAGAGAGGGGCGGAGCCCCCTAACGGGATTTTAGGGGGCGGGATCTGAGCCAATGAGAGGCCGGGTCTCGCGGTAAGGGGCGTGGTCTGATATAGAGGGGCGTGGTTTAATGCAGGGTGGTGGGGGGGGACAGTGCCCGAAACGTCGCCAATTACTATTTGCAAGACATTGCATTCATCCGCTTCAAGGGGCCACTGTGTTATTTCCTAAGCACAATTAACAAAACAAAAGATAAAATAAAAAACTAAATCTATAATAGGCGACGTTTGGGATACCGATACCAATAACCCCGCCAATTCGCCACTGCTAAGTGACCGTCACCTCACCACGGCGACTGTGCCAGGCTGGGTGCGCTTTGAGGGCCGCCACGTCAAGCTGTCGAAGGCTCGCTGCTGACAGGAGGTGGAGGAGGAGGAGGTCTCGGGGACAGCAGCGCACGTGCCCGTGGGGTTGGCTGACTGAGATGACCGGGGTGGGATGGGCGGGGGGGTGGTGCCGAGCGGCCCTTCTCTTTACACGAGCACAACTCGACGAACGCGCGTGAGTTTCGTTGTTAAAAACCGAACGAGGAATTATTATTGTTGTTGTCGTTGTTGTTATTGGAGTTTCCGAGTCGGAGCGAGCGGACGAGGTTCGTTGGGGGGGAGGGGGGGAGGCCCTCTTGGTGCGGAAGAGGCGGAGCGAGATTAATTTACATAAATAAATAAATAACTGTCGGGCAGGAAGGCGAGGGGAGGGTGGAAGAGAAGGGGGAGGGTGGATGTGGGGGGTGGGGGGTGGGGGTTGGGGGGGGAGGAAAGTAGTCCCGACGCCGCGTGGAACCCCCCCCCCCCCCTTTTCCTCCTCGCAGCACGCAAACCGGCGGCGGCGGCGGATCACGCGCCATTGCTTCGTGTATCGATTCATCGATCCGACTCCGCCCCCACATATTAAATCGATTCCTATCCGCACGATAACATTCATTGAATCGCGCGCACCGTGATTGAATTTAACGATCGATCCACACAAAACTTTATGCAAATTGTCTCGCCTATTGCCTCATGTTCCCGAGGAACGAGAGGGATAACAAATGGAACCGGGAAGACGCTCCGTGTTGTGACAACAACAACAAGATGATGATGACGACAACAACAACAACAAAGCTTCGCGTTTAAGAGAGCAACCCCCAAATAAACAGTAGACACGCGGCACACCAACAATCAGTAGCTGTCACAACCTCGCACTTTTTAACCTTACGGCGTACAGACGTTGCAAAGACGGGCAAAAATAATTACGTTGTCTCTCTTGTGATGAGACCTTATAGGATTATTAACGTTGAGATGTATAAGGGCCACGGGGTGAGACCAATAAGGTCTGAATTGGTCTGTAATAAGGTGGGGGGGGGGCACTTATAACGGGATGACAGGGACACAAACATTGGGACGGTTCATCATCGCGTAATTAATGTCCACGATAATTTACAAATAATGTTTAATTAGAAGGTATTTTTTGTTTAATCCCGGTGTTTTTTTTTTACTCAGGTGTGATCAAGGAGTCTTCTTCTTCGCCGTGTCCTCCTGTCCAGTCCATATAGTCGAGGAGTACGAGTTATACATTTAAAGTCACCCCTTACTTAGATTTCCCCACGTAGGAATTTCCACAAATCGCAGGCACGAGATCGAGTCGACAATTTGTTGTTGCTGTTGCGTGGGAATCTCGACAGACTGCCAACTATTCCATGGACACGTTAGAGGGGGGTTTTCATGTGCTGCAGCGGATGTAAGCATTGCACCCAGGGATCGATTACTAACACCCACGAGTCTGTTCACATGGAAGGTCCGTCCAATACGTGTCCTGAAATTCCCTCTTGTTGTTCCACGCTTCGCCACTTCTCAAGAATGGCCCATGGCCCGAAACGTTCTCCGAGTCAATCCCCCTATTGCATACCGATCAACCCCGACCTTATTGCAGATCAATTTTAGATCTTATTGGTCTCACCCCGTGCCCTTATACATCTCAACGTTCATCCTCCAAAGTCCCATCACAAGGGAGAAACACAAACAAATAAGACACAAACATTGTTGTTGTTGCCCGTATTGGAACGGCTGTACGCCGCCTTATGGACCTGAAAAAAGTATAGGTTGACAGGTTTTGCTATTGTCGACACGGCGTGAATGATGAAGAATGTGATGCAACCGTCGACAGGAAAATAATTTAAACTTCATCATGAGCCATGATCGATCCACTGCTGGATTAATTAAGAATTCAGGCCTCCTAACCCTACCCCCCATGCCATCGCCATTTCGACAATCACGCGATGTCACAATCCATCTGGCGCCTGTCCACCATCTGATTTCATCACTCCATCTCCATCGTAAAACGATGTCTCTTGGGGTGCCTTCTCTCATTTATCTATTTAGCCCATCGTCTCTTGTAGCCGTGATGTGTCTTAGCCAACATTTCATCTTGTAGTTAAATACAATGTACCGTATTTATTGACTGAATTAAAATGCTGAACATCTGCGTAAACGAGGCTTATAGCTCACGGGATTCCTCCAGTTTAAATACATATATTATGATTCTGAATTATGTAATTAACCTGCTCATGTTTCTCTAATTCGCGTATTCCTTTCTGTATCTCGGTGATAATCCCAAGCATGAATATATTCATGCCACCCAATAACCCAGTTTTTTTTAAACTGTTTACTTTTTCACGTTCCTTTATAAAAAGTGTATAATAAGTAGGCCACGTTTGTTGGGCAATGCTCTTTACTCACAGCACATGGACCGGGAGAGGTGTAATGAATACAACACAATGCTCTTTCTCTTGCAGCTAACACCCCCTTAAGTAATGCCTCGGGCGGTCCCACTCGAGTTTTAAAACTTTCTAAAAAATAGTTTTTAAAAATATATACTTTAGTCACAGGCAAGCGCTGCCATTATGTAATTCTACAACCAAAAACGGCGTCACTTCCCAGACTACGCTTAACCCTTAAATGCAATTACATCACTTTGGGAGTGTTTTTGGTCGACCTCGTGCCCGGCGTATATTTGTAATGCGTATTTACTTTAACTTTACGGGACGCGAGCGAGAGGCAAACGGAGGGCGTTTAGTTTCATTACGAGCCACGTTCCTCTCGGCCGTGTCCTACCTATGACGAAACCCATGGACCTCGTGCGAGACTGGCACTGAATACACTAACCTTGGTTTACTCATTACCCACGGAGAGCCCCCGTCTATAGCCTGAGGATCTGAGGTTGCAGACGTGGCTTTTTAAAACTCGTGTGTATTCACACGGCTGCCACCGCTTGGTTGGGGGTTAATAATAATACTCATTGTAAAATGTTGTGGATTAGCTCTCCAACGCCCCGGTGTTGCTGTACTCTAATAACGAATTGGCATGTTCTGTTTACGTGGCTGAGACCCCTTTACTAATTGGCCGTCGGGTGTGCTGGGTTTCACGACACATTTATATTTAAGCGTTCTAACCCCCCCCCCCCCAAAAAACTTTATTTATGGAAGAAGAATAATAATAACGGCTGGCTCGTATATTTGCAATACAGAGACGCATTGTAAGTTTCGATCTCCCTGTGTGGCATTTGAAACAATTGGGAGTATTATTATTAGTACTTGTCACGCTTGCAAAGAAGATGCACGGTAAAATGACGCTCCGCAAAGAGGAATATTTCATACTCTTTGGTTCTATTGGGTAAAGTCACGTAGGTGAAAATAAAATAACAAATATTTCAATTGAAAATATTCCTTTAAAAAATCAAATACTGTATAAGATTAATTCTCTCTACCCTGTTCCTCCCCCTCCCCCCCCCCAAAATAATCCTCGATTATCCCCAGCTGAGTAACAAATACCCCTTAGAGGGGCTCTCCGTGGCCCCCTCTAGTGGAGGAGCGTTGGCAATGAGTTTCCTTTTTATTAATAATAATGGGAGCTGTACGATTTGCGTTTGTGCGGGACGTTGAAATGTAATGGCATTTCAAGACGCGCCTTGAGGAAAGGCGAAGGAGAAGAAGAATAAGAAGGAAAAAAAACCCCAACACTTGGGTAGAAGGGAAGGATGGAGGTCAGGGCAGGGGAACGCGAAACAGGGGTGGGAGGAGGAGGAGGACAGAGCAACACCAAGTGCCACGAACACTTGGTGGTGGTGGGGGTCGCTAAATAAGTTTCAGTCAGACGTAAAGTAATCGGTGCAAAGTTAACAAAACGAAAATTGGTAGTGAAATGGGTTTGGCACTAGAGACGTTAAGGCAGGTGGGTTCCACGTCTGAGCGATTCGTTGCACGCAACCCACGTTGCGCGCAACCACGTTGCAACCACGTTGCGTGCAACTGAAAAGCTGTGATCGTCTCCATCCTCGATTTCATTTCTGCAACAAAACGTCGATTAACAATATACGAGTTGGCCATGATGAAGTTGCACGGTCAATTTGGTTGCGCAACTGATCGCACGGGTGGTTTTAAAAAAAAAAATTCAACGCGGCCTATGTTAGCTGGCCTCTAGTGGCGCCACGTCAAACTGTTACTCTTACGAAGATTTCGTAGAATTCCAAGTTCAACGCCCTCGCGGACCATGATCCTAGAGGATCGTTTTCACCGGAGTGGGGGGGGGCACAGTTACAACCCTTTAGACGACGATCGCTTTTTTTTGGTCGCTATCGCCAAAAAACACGTTGCGGTAAAACTTGCAACTTCTGAGACAAGCAACTCGTCCCCCGTGTTCTCACACGTCAGCGGTTGTGTTTCAGTAAACACGGACAACGACGATCTCCGCAGCGCGCGTTTATGCCACGCAAGAGATCCACGCGACGTTCAACGCTCGCCTTGTGTTTTTTTATTTTTTATTTTTAGCGGGAAACCGCTCCTCTCTCGCGACATAGTCCCACCACGGCGCACGCGGACGGTTACAACCGTCCGCTCGGTACGTGCTGCGTGCGCGGGCCCCGCGTTGGCGGCGAGGCGGGGGGGGAGGGGCCAGCTCGAGAGAGGGGGGGGGGGTGACGCCGTGCTGGCAGATGGAGGAGGGTGGGGGTCGGGGGGTGTGGGGTGAGGGGCGGGGCTCGCGTATCCTTCCGCGCGGCGCCTCCATGTTGATTCTCGAGGAACCGAGCGAGCGGCTCCCGGTAGCAGCGTCAGCAGCAGCAGCAGTAGAGGCGGCGGCGGCGGCGACGGCTTTAGCATTATCGGCGGTGAAAGAACTCGTCGGCGACTCGCACAGAGCTCCTCGCAGCCCCGGTGACCAACTCGTAATCGGCATCGCTCACGATCAGCGCTCTAGTTTAGCGTCGTAAGTCTCCGAGCGCGGCGTTTCCTCTCCTGAGATTCTCTCTCGCGAACGAGGGGAAGCGACGAGATACTTTCATCATCGTTATCACCGTCGTCGTTACTAATTATCGTCACTACGTATTATCAGTAATACTGTTATTGTAGTTAAGGGTTATTGTTTTAACCGCGCGCTAGTTTAATTTCGTTTACGTTCGGGGCAGCAGTAGTAGTACAGTAAGTGTACATTAAGACACAAAGAGAGGCGGTCGTGAGGCGCGGCGCGAGTCCATGTAGGAGGAGGGAGCATGAAGCCCGCCAGCGCTACCGCGTCCAGCCGCAAGGCCGGCACCTCCAGACCCACGCCCGGCAGGTGAGCACCGCGCACCTCCCCCACCCGGACCACCCTTACCCCCCCGTGTCTCGTCTCTTAACAAACGTGTCGTCGTCGTGCCGCGAGCTTGTATGCCTGCGTGCGTATATATGTGTGCCTGTACGATCTGTGTGGCAAACGAAAGCGCGCGCGCGCGACCGGAGAAGAATGGCAAAAGAAATTAACATTATTTAATTGTTTAATTAAATAACGCGTTGGGGCCCACGGGCTAGGATTCGGCGCGCGTTGTATTTTGTAGACCGCATTGTGTTATTCGGTTTTAATTGGCGCTTCGCGATTGGTGGCGGCGGCGCACGTGATGGGCGAGGCGGGCCCGTGATTGGCTGAGGGGGGAGTCCGAGGCCCAATGGGGTGCGCGCAAGCGCGTGTGCACTGGGGAATGTGGCGCCGCGCCGACGACCTCTGCAGAAATGAGGCGGCCGCTTCCCGCCCCATAGAGGCTTCCTCGCGGGCCCCCTGACACCATGGGGGGTGGGGGGCCGTGCCACGGTGCCCCCCACTAATGGAACTTGTAAACAGGGACCATTATATGCGCGAAACTTACGGTCGCGATCCCTTTATACGGGTCCCCTGTTGATGGGAATTGTACGTTGGTGGGGACCCTGTTGTATCTGGCGGCTCTCAAGTAATGGGACCGAACACGGACCCCTATGTATGGGACCCCTACATGCAAAATGCCTACACATGGCACCCCTGTACTACAGACCACCTGAGAGTGGTACCCGGACAACCAGAATCCCGAAACACAGATCACTACGTTAAGGATCTCTATTAATATGGCCTTAGTTCATGGTACATGGGATCCTTAAACATAACCGCTCCCAATACACGGAACGCCGGAATCCGGGACCCCTGCACCCGTTCATCCCAGGACTCCCAACACTCAGAATCCCTCGGATAAAAAAAAATCGCCAGCCTCCATCCCGGAAACCTTTCGACATGAACACCCAGTGCATCCATTTTGGGGCCCTCTATCCCTAGTGATGGTGACGATAGATTACAGATACTGTACTAGACTAGGATATAGCTTGAGACTGTGTTGTATTCGCCTCGCTACGAACTCGGTCTCCCAAGTTAGATTCCTTTCCATGGCTAATGAGGAGCTAGTTATCTGAACCGGTCTTGCTCCCCCCCCCTCGCTAATTATCGTGGTGAAATGGTCATGCAACCAACACGATCGACAAGGCACAGAACTGCCTTCATCCAGCAGTGGATTGACAAAAGGCCTGTCTGGGTTTTCATTGCGTGAACCCGCCGACTTTTCCGCCTCCATCCTGGGACTCGCAAATATTCGCACCCCGACCTCCGGGCCAGACCACCCATTGGCAATATACCGACTTGGGCCTGAATTTCAAATACACTTGGCTACCCCTGATGCCGTGGATGGGTTACAACATTGAAGTATAATTGTAGGCTGTTGCCTTTTTTCAAACGAAATACGTAACAAGATGATTCCAATTCGGTTACCATCCATAATTTCCCAGTAAATCCATTCCGCGTTTTGTACCCCGGAGACATAAAAAAGGCATAATATTTCTACACCCGGAACCTCTAATCAACGATACTTTAAATCATGGGACATTTAGACAATAGACCTCGTACATTCGGAGTGCCTGAGCTCAGAACTCATACATACTGGATGTTATGGGATTTATTTACACTGGGCCTCTACACTTTAGAATCTTACACACGGGACCCCCAACACCTGGAAGCTCTCTATGCGTTTACAGGGATCATCCCAGGTCCCTCCGCGAATCGAAGAACTCGGGCCTTTCTAAGGTTCGACGCAGCAGTTTATTGTTGAAATGAAACTTGCAGTGACTAATTAAATGTGAAATCTCCACATTCCGTGGGTCAGCAGAACATTGGCGTTGTATCTGTTGCGTGGCGGACCATTACATCTACTCTCCGTGTTTACTCTTTTTCAGGGGCCGCGGAAACAAAGGTCCTTCCCACTCGCCCGTAAGTTACCAGTTAGTAAACGCATGGTGATATGCTAATTATATGATTCCTTGCTTTGGTATGAACGGCTCATGGTGGATTAGGCTGCTCTGAAAACCCACACAGTGACCCCACTTGATGTGCAAATAGATGTTGCTCCTTCGTTGTTTTCATTGGGATTGTAAAGTAAACAGAGGCATGGTTTTGTTCACACAGACATACGAAGGTGTTTACAACAATCCTCGCATGGTGCATGTGCTCACGTCTGTAGTGGTGAGTAGTGATGCAGCTGCATTCCATTTACTCTGTGACTATCCTGAATATCTTCGTTTCAAATGAATGTGCTAGTGGTTATTTCTAAGAATACATTTATTTGGGATGTACACACAAAACATTTGAGCAAGACAAAAATAGTAATCGTCGTGTGTTACTCCACAAAGGAAAGCCCATCTGTAGTGTGGACAGTGTGCGATACAAAATGTTCTTAAGCACCCTAAAAAAAGTGGCACCGTACTGTCCAGCTGGGTATCCGGCAGTCAATAAGATGAGCTGAGAAGCCAATTAAGCTGTAATTGGGCTTTACAGCAGCCAACTGATAATTTGTTTCCTGGCAACAACATGATCAATGAACCATGACATTTAGAAACGTTTACTTTTTCACGTTCCTTGATCACAGTTGTGTTTTAGTTGAAGCTGTTTACAAACCACAGATGATTGAGGCATGACATGATGAAAGTGCTCTTCGAAAGATAATTCAACGAAGTGGTTGTAGACCAATGGTAGGATTGTTCATGTATACCATTGTCATGTTACCTTTCTTAGGGCGCCAAGTGTGAACTGAAGGTGAAGAATGGAAAGGTTTACGATGGGATATTTAAAACTTTCAGCCCAAGGGTAAGAACTTTTGTTTCTGTTCCTTATTCTAAATATAATGATTAATTAGAGGGTCGTGTCTTGTACCAGTAAAGATTGTTGCACATCAATATGGTGGATTTTAAACTGTATGAACAGTGGCTTTAAGTGATGATTTACAGAGTCTGGGAACATGGGCTTTTTGGCTTGAGGTGGATGGTCAATAAACAAACAGGCTAGCACCCAAATGTTAAACCTTTAAAAGTTTTGTTGGCTTTTCACTATTTGAAGTAATTTGTGTATCCTAAAGGATTTATAACAGTCCGAGTCATACAGAGATCATTTGGAACTTCAAATATTTTCCTTCTAATTTTCTTGATTGGATTTTTAAATATCCTGTGTTGGAACTGTATCTTTTCTCCTGGTATGTTTACATACCAACTGTGTGTGCATGGTGACCACTTACCAATTAAGAGGTGTAACACTCTAAAATACATTATTAATTCAGCCAGGGGGTACTGTTTGAATTTACACATGAAGTACATGAATTGCATTTTAATAATAATAATAATGCTCTTTAAATGCATTTAAACTGGTTATAGATTTGTGCTGAGTAAACACATCTGGTTGTGGCAGCGTTAAGTTTGTCGTTGACTGGGTTTTTTGAGACGTTCGTGTTGTGTGTTCCTGGGAATTAGCTGGAGCTAGTTTTGGATGCGGTGCATCTCAAGAGCCAAGACTCTACTGAGGTGGCGCCCAGACAAAGTGACATACGCCCGTCCGTCGTCTTCCACCACCCTGATGTGGTGCTGCTTCATTTCCGCGATGTCGACCTTAACTTCGCCGCAAGAGGTTCTACACGCACTCCGTTACCTCTTCACCACCGCACAGACGGGCACTCGGCTTCTTGCCTCCTCTCTGGGGCCATTTTCCTTAAGTTGTATCGTGTAAAAATGTAATTTATCAAATTTATGAATGTATAGGTTTTAATATTCAAACTAAAAAGATTTAGAATACATTTAGTTTTATTCGTCAATGCTGTGTTTAGTCCCTCTTTAAGCACTGAGTCGTGTTGTGTTACATGCATGGGTGGCAGGAATTCCTCGATTCTTATGCCAACCTTTTTGTGTTCCTCTGTTTTGTGTCATTTTCCATCAGTGTCGTCTGACACAGGTAACACACTATGCCTGTGTCTCATTGCACTGCATGAATTAATTTGCTTTGTGGAGGATCACTCTATTCAACAAATCTATTGGTGAAATTATGATAAACATTTGGCATTGTACTTGATCACTTCACTAATTTTGATAGTTTAAGGATGATTGCATTGGTTGTTTCCATTGCCTACATTTTCAGTTGACAATTGTTGGTGATAAATCTACAATTTTCCTGCTTTATAGAGAATAATGAACGAGGTAATTAAACAAATATTGATTTCATTGGTTGAATTGCTGCATGTTTAGAAAATGAAATGAATGCCTTTGCAATCCTGTCTTTACTCTAGATACACCAACATTTGCGTTATCTTAGAGGCTGTTAGAGCAGATGCTTGGCTTTATTACTTGCCAGCCTTCGCATGCTTATAGACTTTTATCGTTTTCCTGGAAATAAGGGGTAAAAGCATTGGCAGGCATATGATGATTGATATGCTTGTTTATATTTGCTCCTATTTTCCATAGTAATAGCACGTTTTTGAATTTGTTACGTGAACTTTGTTCTTGTTCGGTTTGTAGACAACTTTACGGATGCTGGCATCAGCGGCAAGCTCAACGGAGAGCACAAGGAGCGCGAGTTGGAGCCCTGGATGGGCGGGGATAACAACAATGATGACGTCGCCCTTGACACGGACATGGTACATTGTGGGAGTGACCAACACTCATTATAAAATGTGCACATTCTTACAGGCTCCAATAGCCAGCAGTTTTGTTTTCTTATCTGTGTGGTTGTTCGACTGTCGGTTCAGTTACCAGCTTTCTGGCATTCTCTTTGCCAATGAATGGAACAGGGACAACAGTGGCATCTGGTTAGATAACTGTTCTCGACCATAGTATTTGTAAATTGCACAGACATTAACACTGATGAGGTTTGTGAACTTCGGGATTTAAGTTACAAATGCACTTTTAATTGTGTGTTCAATCCTATGCTTTTCATATTTTATTCACACCGACATAGTGTGCTTATTTAATTTAACACAATTTCGTGTCTTATGCCGACCTTACAGTCAAATGGCTGGGACGCCACTGAGATGTTCCGCTGCAACGAGGAGGTTTATGGTGTAAAATCAACATACGACCACAGCCTTTCCAACTACACGTAAGCTTGCTACTACATAAATAGTAATTGACACCCTTCACTTTACTGCTGGATGAGGGTGTCTCCACAATATGATGGTCATGAGGATTGTTTGACCCATATTTAAGCAGGTTTGCCAGTTCTGGTTTGGCGGGGAGTGGGTGGGGGGCAAGGACCAGTTCAAAATCTGAGTTCATTGCACAGCGATGTAACCCCTGTGCTACTGCTCTGCCGAGTCTAGTGCTCCCACACATTTGTGTGGGATACACAGCCGGTTGGGGTTGGGGGCAATGGTGGAGCCAGGATTTTCAGGTAGGGGGGGGGGGGCAACCCCTCCAGCAATGAAAAATTATAGGAGGAGTTAGTAAGTCAGGACTTGTCCGTTGCTTTTTATTCGATGCGTGTGCGGCGATGGCGCAGCCATCGATCGAGGGTCGAATTCAAACCGTGTGTGATCGGCATTGCGCTTGGTGAAGGTATTTCAGGGAAGTCGTGTATTGTATACGCAACTGCACACACTTCGGTGAGTCACTTATACTGCTTTGCTGTTACTTATTGCCAATTATGGACTGAGACTATTGTCCTATCATTTCATAGTCCCTGGCATGTAATAATATGCTACACAGTGGCAGTGGGGGTCGCAAAATGGCGATTACTAATAAACCCAAATGATCCGATGGAAATTATGGATTTTGATCGGATCATTTGGGGGGCACGTGCCACCCCACCCCCCCCGCCCACTGGCTCTGCCAGTGGGTTGGGGGGGACAGGCATGAACCCAGATGAACACTTGCCCACCTGTGCACCAGCCAGACAGAATGGGAACTAGTCAAACTTTTTTGTAATGTAGTGTGATTAAGGAGGAAACTAAGAAATACCATTGGCTAATTGTGATCTAAAGCTGTATATTTAAATCCTACATTCTAAAGTGCTATGTAGGAGAAGTAAGCAGTTGTGTGAATTTGTTTAATGTTATTCACGATGCTTGTTGTCCAGCACGCCACTGGAAAGGGACGAGTCTGAAGAGTTCATGCGACGACAGGCTCGCGCAACTCAACTCGCGCAGGAGATCGAATCGAACCCATCGTACCGTTCACGCGTGTCGCTCGAAAATGACGAGGGCCGCACGGAGGAGGAGCGCTTCAGTGCCGTACACCGGAACGCACCACCGCAGGGTGGCGAGCGACAACCTTATCGCTCGCGCGTTGTACTGCCCGCCAACGCCGGGGCGGATGGAGAAGATGGGCGTGCGGACGAGGAACGGTACCCGCTGCCTCCGCGGGAGAGGCAGCCATACCGGTCCACCCGTAATCCCAACGAGAGCGACGACTGCCGGCAGGACGATGACAGATATGGCTCCCGGTCAGATCGACCCGGAGACCGCGACAGCCCAGGCTTTAACCATAGGTGTGCACATTTTTACAGTGGTAGCAACACCGTATCACGTATATCCCATTGAAACGTCACACTTTTCTGTTTTCTTAAATTGTACTTCCTCGTAGATTGCTTAAGTATTTTTTTAAGTGTTAATTTGTACTTTAGGGTGAGAACTTAATATACGGAGATATGTCTTCTGAAGTGGGATGGTTATCACCAAGGTGTGAGGGCATACTGAAACTGGATGTTTTTGTCTTTGGTGACTGCAGGGACGTAAAGTTCATGGGGCAGAGGCACCGGGACATGGCACGTGGCGGAATGAGGCCAGGCCAGTCACGTGGTGGGAGGCCTGGGCCTGCGCCACACCACTCGCCCAGGGGCAGTCCTTATCACCCACACAGCTACCCACACCCAGATCCCATCACCAGCCCAGGACCCGTGCTTAATGGAGGTAAGTTCTCCGAAACATGCATCTACTTTTCTGAGAGTGTGCATCTATACCATCCTCTCCTGTTATGCTGTGGTGTGTTCCCACAAACCCTTCTTTGACCCTCATCCTTTTCAGAAATTCATCACATTTTGCAATTGTATATTCTGTCCTTCACATTCTGATTTTTACTTTCCAAACAAATGCTTGTTTCCTTGCATGTACTTTTGCATTACATCCACAACTTCAGGGAAAGCCCCCTTGTATTGTGCATCCTTATTTTCTCTTGGTGTATTTTTAAAACATTTTATTTATTTATTTTTGTTTCTTTCCATGCTGCTTCATGTCCCTTGCGCCACCCTGTCCCCTTCTCTCTGTGTCTGCGTTGCTGTCGAAACCCCCTTCCACTCCCCTCCTCCAGGCGTGTCCCTTCCTGCCCCCTGCCCATCACCCTCACGCCTGCCCGTACGCTATCCGGCAGGGGTGAACTCCCTGCCCCCCCGGGCACCCACCCCCTCTCGGCCCCCTTCACACCCTTCTGCGGCCGTCTACGGCCCTCCTCCTCCTCCCAAACGCGGCCCTACAGAAGGTAGTTAGTGCTTTTGCCTAGTGTTGTGGAGGAAAAAAACATTGACTCTACACAGCAACACATTGTAAAAAAATCGAACTATAGTTTGACTTGGGTGAATAAAAAAATGCGGGTTTCCAAATACAAATGGATAAAAAGTGAACTTAGATTAAAGCCCAAGAAGTTGCTGGGTTAATTCTGTCTCAAATGCAATAAGGCCATATTGCATCACTAAAACATTGCATGTGACAACTTCATAAGAGCAAGTGCTAGACATTCTCAAGAGGCTCCATCGAACTGAAAATAAATAATCAATGGTTTCCCACTAAACCTTTTCCATATTTCTCCTACTCTGAATACAAAACAGTTAATTCAGTCCCTTTTCTGAAACAAGTTTGGCTTCAACAAATTACACATTTCACAAAAAATCCTCATCTAATTGTACGCTGAGCAATGTTTTCTATTTTGTATTTAACCTTAAGATGGACGAATTATTCATGCAGCGAAGACGACGTTTTACATTTGATTCCATAAAGATTCATTCTTGCTGCCATTTTCTCTCAGGTGCACGGATGTCTCCAAAGGCCCAGCGTCCGGCTCGTTCCCTCCGAGGCATGGGCGGCCGGGGAGGAGGAGGCACCACACCCCCCATGGCAGGGGATCCTGGCCCCCACGTTGGCCTCCACGCGGGCCCGCACGTGGGCCACCACGGGCCCCCGGCCAACACAGATCTCCCTGTGCCCTCGCAGCAGGGCCCCTCGCGGGGTGGCGCCAGCTGGTCTGCTGTCGTCAGCGGAGGTAATGCGCCCTATAAGTGGCAGCATTTTTCATTTGTACTCATGAGTAGTAACATGTAAAATTCTAGACAAAGATGTACCCCCCACGAGAGTCAAACAATTTACATGATGGAATTGTTTTTATTACAAGAAATCGGTAGTTATTTTTAATTTAAAAATCGGTTGTTATTTTTTTCTCTAGTCATACTAGAGCCTCTATTGGTGGCAGGGGTCAAAAAAAATAGATTCTCACGATTCAATGTAGATATTGTGACCATGTAAATTTGTTTAAATCAATGAATATTTGCATTGTTCAATTCCTATTACATTTTGTCATGTTCATTTGGGCATAATTATCTTGTTAAATAATGGGTCAAGTTGGTGAGAAGCCAACTAAAACTCCATGTGTTTTGTGAGTGCATCGCTCACCAGGATGGCCGTGCCGTCCCCTCCTACAGGTGCCACAAACCGCACGTCTCCCAAGTCCTACCGCCCACGCTCTCCCAAAACTGGCTCCCAGCCCCCATCCGGCCCTGCGCCCAGTGCCCCCCAGGGCACTGTGACAGGCGTCCCCTACCCACCTCCTCCATCCCAGGGGGTGCCCAGTGCCCCTACAGGCACGGCCACGCCTACGTCGCCCCCCAGGACAGGCCCTTCTGCACCATCTGTCCAGGAAAGCAGTCACATCCAGACAGTGCCGTCATCTGCTCTTCCCAGCTCTGCTGCCCCCTCCGCAGTGCCCGTAAGGTTTGAAGGCACTGGACCCGAAGGCGAGTGAGATTCTTGAGAATTTTTTGTTCATTTTTATGAACTAATTTACTGCTAAGGTGCAAAGCGTTAATGCTTTAGCTGTGTGTCTGTTATAATGGGGTCATAATAAATATTGTAAAGATGATAAAATAGGGCGTTTTATTTTACTGAGTTGTGTTATTAACAGTTCTGTAGAAATCGAGCTATATTGTCAACTTGGCAGATAAAAAAAGGAAACAACGAACCATACTTGCCTCTCGCCTCCTATAAACATATCTTTGGATATCCCACACTGTAACATAATTTCTCATGCTCAGGCGTTCATGTTATTCATCTAATTAAATAGTACGAAAAAAGCATGTTGTAAACCTTTAAGTTGCCCATGCATGTACGTTATTTTTCTTGTCGGGTCCCTTAGTTTTACTTGAACCTCGTGTATTTTATGAATCCAGAACAGGTTTGCTTGCATGGTTGTGTTTGCGAGGTCAGAGACTGCTGTACCTATCTGAAGCTCATGCAGTGTCACAGTAACCTGTATTACATGCAGATGCATCAGACTTAATGTAATATATTTTCCCAGGTAAGCCTCGCTTAGTATCAGATACCATTTTTAACAAAGTTCAAAATTGGGATTTTAGTAAAATTAAGGAGCAATTTTGCTGAAGTAGATTTTTGGCTATGGCTAACATCGGTGGAATAATTATATAAACTGGTACCTGCCTCCCTTCCCTCTTCATGTTAAATAACCTACGTACACTGATGCAGTGTACGTAGGTTATTTAACATCTTTACCGCCATGGATTGGAACAAAATATTCTTAACTCGAGAAATTCCTGTCAGGGCACGGAACTTAGTTCAGAAATTCGGTCATTTTGATTGGCAATGCTTTGAATGAATATTTTGCATGTTGGAGGAAAAGGCAGTAGCAAGAGAAAGCCCATACATTAGGGGGGTAATCATCGTCTGCCGTGAGTTCTTAACTCGCTTTGCCTTAATACCATCCGACTACCTCGCAGCTTGGTAATTTTGTAGTTTGGCAAATCTAAATAGACCACTAACCCTTGCCTTCAAAATGCTGGATAAAGCACACGATGCCTTCGTGATATTTAAATATTTCATGTGTATATCTTATATTATTTTTGTACCATCTTTTGTATTTCTGTAGTGAAAGAAGCTAAGCTCCTCGAACAAAGGGTTGTGGCAGTGTCTGCTGCTGTGAGCAAAGAAAATGTAAGACCCCCAGAGCAAGCATGCAGCAACCCTCAAGCTGCCTTCTCTAAACCACCCCCAAAAGGTATACGCACGTGTACGCTTTTTCCCCAAAACCATTGGTTACATTTCTTTTCAAATATCCAGTAATACTGCAGAGACGATGTATTTTAACGAATTTTAACTTGCGTTTTCAGTGGTTCCCGCACCTCTAATGCATCAAGACCATGACAAGAGCCGCATTCAAGTTAAAAAGGAGCTCAAAGAATTCCAGACCAAGTTCATCGTGAGTAAAACTGTTTAAAGTCTAATCATAATGTAATTGTCTTTCACCTTGAATGAAATGTATTTGCCACTACACTTAAATCTTTGGCAAATGCGTGCAATTTAACATCAACTCCAATGCTTATAGTGCATTCGTTCAACTCAAGCTGCATGCCATTAGTTGTGCTATACAGCTCCAGGTGAATTCCTGAAGTGTGGTTGTTTGTCTGCACAGCTCCAGTCTAGTACTGAAACGGAGGTTGACGCAGCTTTGAGGGACAAGAGCCAACAGCCTGGCTTGCCTTTGGCAAGTGAAGCCAAATCTCAGCAACAACAGCAACAACAGCAGCATCCTCCTCAACCACAGCAGCAGCTGCCACCCCAACCACAGCAGCATCCACCACCCCCAGGCATTCCTTCAATTGACCCCAGTGCTTGTGTGGAGACTGGGAACCCGAGTGGCCTGGCGAGGAGTGCTGAGGGAGTCAAGGCTGTTTCCATGGGGCCTCCTGGTAGCGCCACAGAGGACAAGGAGGGCAAAGTTGTGCCAGGGGCGACACCTGGTTCACTGGCATCTGGTTCAGTGAGCGACAAGATGGATGGCGAGGAGGGGGATAGGACAGGGGACGGCATGAATGAGTGAGTGCTGGAATTTCTGCTGGAATATATTTGTTAACTTTCATGCTGCTAAAATCTATCTTTATCTGCCTTATAGTTTATTGTACTTATCAAATGCCTGTAACAAATTACAGATTGACATTTTTGGTAAAGGAACAAATTGTGGTGAAGTGACCAGCTGACGAATTACAAACAATTTAGTATATAACACATTTTAATAGTTTTGGAGAAGGTAGTAGGACATTTTTTAGCTTATGTATAACTTTGTAATTATTGATGTTCACAGCAATTCTGTTAAGAAGTCCACACTCAATCCGAATGCCAAGGAGTTTGTGCTTAACCCGAGTGCCAAGCCATTCGTACCTATGGTGAGTACCTCTAATTTGACTGCCTCTGTACGATGTTGCTGGAATCCCAGAATACTGACCACCCCTTTTTAACTTCCACGAGCTGCATGTGAGAAATTAATTTGCTGAAATGGTGCATTTATTTCTGGAGATGGCACATTTCTGAGCAGTGAGTTTGGTATTGTTGTCGAGATTAGCTAGTTGGATGTGCTGACTGATTCTTCTTCTGTCTACCAGACAAAACCAGCAACAACGCCAACTCCTCCACGGCCTCAGACGCAACCCAGCCCCTCGGTGCTGGTGCAGCCGATTCCCGGCACGCCCGTTTACAGCCAGCAGCCAACACAGTACCTGCACTTCCCGCACACCATCCCTCCTGGCATGCAGGTCAGGGGATACACTACTGGGGGTGTGGTCACTGTGTTTAATAAACCATACCTAGACAAACCCCTGTGTATTGTTGCACTCACTGTATTTCCACCACTGTCTCTTGAGGCATTTATGTTCTTGCTTGGTGAATTAAGTGCGTACGCTTTTGTAATTCCATAAAAATGCTAATTTTTATGGAAAATTATATATGGGCTGTTTATCTTGCGTAACAGGTTATAAATTCCTCCCTACAATAACAAGCACAGCAGAGAAGCTCTTAACATTTACGTTTACAAGTCATATACATGTGTACGTTGATGCTTAACAGTTGAAATGTGTATTCATAATCTTGGTTCTTTCGGTAAAGTCACGTAGAAGGGAGATAATAATAAAAATAAAACAATAAAATTCTCACGACGTTTCGATTGCAACACAAGCAATCATCAGGTGTGAAAACCACAGCCATAAAAAATTAAAAGTGGAAATGTGGTATAATGTTTGTTGAGTTGGCAAGTGAAATGAGCTGTATATAGTAAGAGTTTGTAGGTCTTCCACCAGGGTGGGTCCCTCTACCAGTACCAGCTGCCGCACTCCGTGCCCGTCAACCAAAACAAGCCGTACAGGACAGGTAAAGCGCTTGGGATGATGGGAATAATATTTTAAGAACACTTCACCTGAGGGGACTAAGATTGGAGCATATGCCTCGTGATGGTTTGTGATGTTTTGTTCAGGATTCAGAGTGTAGCATGGATCCTGCGTTTGATATATGTAAATGCATTTACAGGGTCTGTGTCATCCCAACGGGGCGAACAGCACCATCCTCCCCCAACTGTCATGGTGCCGGCGCCGACAGCCAATGCCGCTGGGCCACCCCTGATTTCACCCTCGCCCTACACCTCCTACATCCAGTACCAGCCACAGTTGGTGCAGTATCCCTCGCAGGTACCCATGTGCATGGTGTAACCAGTCGTACTACGTGTTTGGTTTTCAGCCATTCACGATAATGTTGTGAAAATTTTACCTTTGTCTTTTAAACTATCGTGGCGTTTGTGAACTTATTTACAAGTCAATGCTGTGTCTTTGCAGCCCACGGCAGTGTACGGGCCTGTCATCCAGGGTAACACGCGCCTCATGGCGGGGGCGGGGCATGGCCAGCCATCTCTGGTCTCCTCGGCACAGCAATACCAGCAGGCCGAGCAGCAGCACCCACAGACAGTCTACAGTACGTTCTTGGCTCTCGCTGCACGACACTTATGGCCATGATCCACTGGGATAATTTCAGGGCAATCGTTGCCTACAATCATCACGAACAATGCATGAACAACGAGTGACGATGGCAACTTGGGTGGGCAACCGAAAGGAGTGACAATTCTCTGAACAGTGTGTATGCTGAACAACGATTGACTGTAAATTAATCAGATGTTTAGTGATGGGGTAAGCCTAGTACTAGTGATGATTAAGTAATTCCTTTATGCAGTCCATTATTAGCAGACAGCCAGTCAATAAAATACTTATCAGAAATTCAATCGGAAGGCTTTTCTGTTCCATCCTCTAGATCCCAATTGGTGCTGGATTTGGAAGACACCATTTTTTTCAGGTGCAGAAAACACAGTGTTAGATAGGCACGTGTGTGCTGTCTGTGAACTGATTCGAAATTTCAGCCCCATTTCCCATTAATGGGCAGCTTGAATCGAAATCATTCGATTTTGGAAAGTTCGATTTTTTACGATGGGAGATGCAATTTTAAACAATTGCCAGTGATGATTGCCCTGAAATTTTTGTTCTGAATCCACTGGTGTCCAATAAAAAAACAGGACTCTTAGCCTGCTTTGATTCTTAATAAAGAAAATATATTCTCAAGCATACAATGATTTGTATTCAAATGAAAGTCATCTGCAATATCGGTGTCGGTTGGGAAGCCGCTGAACTCGACAAGTAGATGAGTAATTGATCCTTATGGCGGTATCCCGGGGTACCAAATAATACAAAATGGCCAAGGCAATTAAATATATTTTTTCTGGGACACTTATTTTTTCCAGGTGTGTACTTCACTCCATGACTGGGGTACCAATTAATCCAAAATAAGTGCTACTCCGCTATGTCGGAACGCAGCAAGGGCGATTGTGCTGCAACTCTGAACGCTCGTACGCACCGTAGTGCATTGTGTATAGCTCGTCGAGATGAGTCGATTGCAGCATCGCCGACCATCAACGGACTAAAAATTACTGCATCGCGGACATTATGCAAGAGTCGGGGTACCATAAGGTTCAATTGCAGCCCTGAGGAAAATTTTGATTTTTGTGTATTACCTAATATTAGTTAATATTATGTTAATTGTGGTTGAGGTCCTGTTAAACATGATTGATCAACTTGGAAAATAATCATGACTGCTGCGGACACTCCATGAATTTCAATTAAGTAAAAATGATACCACAATACTGTAATGATAAGGAATTCATAAGCCAATGTAATATCCTAATACTGTAAAAGTGTACTGGCATGGTAACTGGAAATGAATGATCGTGACAAACACGAACTTAATTTCTTGAATATTGTTGCTATTATTCGCAGTACGAAGTGTAGATAATAAAGGTGAACATGTAGCCTCGTTTTTTTTTATTTTACACCTGTGAAAATTTTCCGAAGATGATACATTGTTAATGTGTGTGTTTTTTTGCAGTGTCTGGTCCAGTCCCTCAGTCGTACCAACATGGGCCGATGCACCCTCACCACCCACAGCATCCGCAGCCCCCTGCCACCCCTACAGGCCAGCAGCCTGGTCGCCAGCACCCTGGCGCTCCCAGCCCTGCACAGGTAATCCTGCAGCAGTGCCAATACACCGTGACGCAGGCCACGATGCAGCACGGTTTAAATACAATTTTAAGAGCAACATTGTGTTGAGTAATCTTAGCTCTTTCGGTAAAGTCACGTTGAAGGGAAACAATAAAATATATATAAAACAATAAAAATTTTGTGATAATTTTTGTTGTTTTATACTTATTTTATTGTTTCCCTTCAACGTGACTTTACCGAAAGAGCTAAGAATATGAATTACTGCAGTCACGAAAGCTTTAAATCAAAACTGTGTTCAGTCTTTACAAGTTTAGTCGTGGAGTCGCAATTTTGAAGAGTTCTTATTTGTAGAGACTATTGAACATTTGAGTTAAGCTGTGATTACTGCTCTTCCTTAGTATTGGTGACATCTGTTAAGTGTGAAAACAGATTAAGGGGGTGCGTCTCTTGTGAATGTTTGCCTAATAATTCTCTGCCCCTCTGCCGGAATGCCAAACAGCACCCCTCGGGCCAGCCTCCTCCGCACATGGGGAATCCTCAAGGACAAAGCATTTACCATGCAGCCCTGACCCCAACGCCACCCTCACTCACCCCAGGACCCAGCCCGCAAAGCCCCCAGACAAGTTACCCTCCCTCGCAGCAGCCTGTCTATGCCCTGCACCCTCAGTCCATGGGGCATCAGTACGCTGGGCACCCACCACCACCACCACACATGGTATGGCCAGCCAATGAATGGGTGGTAGTCTTCTGACTACCAAATTGGATGTCTGTTCGTCTGGCTTGTACGGGTTTGTGTGTGTGGTAATGAAAAGTGCTCTGAAATGTTACATTTTTAACATAATTTATCTCGAAATTGGTGGATCGTCAGCAGGTTGCTTGCGGTGTGGTTAAGTCTGGGCAGCATGAAATCAGCATAGAAGAGTAGGCCAACATAATACCCCCTTTACTAGAGGCCTTTCTGCCAGCAATTACATGAGTGAATAACTGTAGGGCTACACCTTGACATTTATTTGTAGGGGAGTAATGGATGTTTTGCGAAAGATTCTTTAGGTGTGACCTTTGGTGCAAGCTGACATTTTTCATGTCTAAAATTTGCTAAAGAAAATATGGAAAATCTCTACATAATTATAGCAATTTATCTGTCAATCCATGTGTATTATGCATTGATATAAAGCCAACTAATGTTATACTTGTTTGGATTTGGGGGGTGTTGATTTTGCAACAGGCACACATGCAGGCTGGCATGGGCGGTGGACATCCCCAGCATGCGCACCCTACCCATCCTTCGCACCCTACGCAGGTCATGCTGATGCAGGCCAATCAGCACGGGGGTCACGGGGCACCGCCTTCAATCCCCGTCTCCTCCACAACGCACTACGCATATATGCCCCACCCTCAAGGTGTGTATGTGCTCCCATACAACACAGCAACCAAATAATTTTAACAGGTGGCCGGCTTGCAAATGTATGTAAAGTGGTTGTGATGTCCAGGAGAAATATCACTGCTTATTCACTGCAGTTTGGTTCCTTACCAGGCTTTATACAGAACTGAGGTTGTAGCAGCTTTAATTCGTATAATTCTAGAAAATAAATGTATGGATTTTTTTGCATTACTCTAAATAATGGATGGTAAAGTGAATTAAAGAATGTTTCCTGAATAGAAGCTTTGATGGGTCATGTTGATATTCCTTTATTTTTACTGTGCGCTTAAATTCTTTTCCACAGTGGCTCACCATCAACAGCCACAGATGCAATACCCACCCAGCCAGTAAAACAATGAACGGAAAAGTCTGCTACGTGAAATATTAATGACTACGTATTCGCATAAACCGGCAGCCGAAGGACACGATTACGGACCTTAGAAGACGTATGAAACTCCACCACTGATGATGGAACCGAATATTCGCCAATGATGGAAGTTTGCTGGAAATGAGATACATTTATCTGAACCTCAGCAACCACTAAGTTCTTAAGAATATGTTTATCAACTGCAAGATGCGTATCTTAGTGAATACATAATCAAAACCGACTAAAATGCCTCCTGTCCAGCTTTTGATTTAACTTTGAAATTAAGGGCCGTCTAAGAGTTGGACAATATGCAAACGCAAATGTCTGTGCTTCATTAGTTTGGTGGAAAGAACTTGGTTGAAACTGACACTAAAACTGGATGGTCATTCTTTTTGTTCGACATTTAATCATGTTTAGTTTTTGTGACAACAGAATGCCTCGGTTTGTGGCCATGCATCATTTACAGACATCTTGACATCTCATGCCAAGATTGACAGAAAAAGAGACTTATTTAAACTACAAGGCCTGCAATTGAAGGCAACTCTGGAACATAATTTGGTAGCACAATTCCTCGGCCATTTTCATAAGAACAAATGATGAATCCGTCCAAAAATGTTTTCCAAGACACATGCAAAGGCCTCGACGCGATGATCACAAGAGTTATATTCCTGTCGCGAACACACTAATGGTTGACGCAGATGTTTGTATGGCAAGCTGTGCAGAGGCCACAACTGCGCGCATTGACGTGGCTAGCGATAAATTGCGTTGACGACCCCTTTTAGAAACTTTTCAGATTGTGGAAGCTGTGAAAGTAGACCTGTACAGAGCTTCTAGTTCTTTTCTGCTGCATAATACTAAAACTGGAGTCTCATGTAGTAGGAACTGCTGGAAAAAAAATAAGTGCGACTGTTGCTTTTTGGCATCCCTTCCCCCATGCTTGCTGAGGTGTTGTCCTGACACGCCTCCTTGTCGGTGTTGGAAACGTACTTTTAATTGAAATAATTTCAAGGGTCTAAACGTAATCAGCTGTTACTTTCTTTTTTAGCAAAGTATAACATCCCTGCGCTTTTAACCAGTGTTCACTCGAGATGTGATTAAAAAAAACTTACGTGGCTTCGAGCCGAGGGAGGTTGGAAAACATTTTTTTTTAAAGGACAGGCCGAGGTTAGAATTGTGCACTTTAAATCAATGGTTGGATACGCAGATCACTATTGAGAGTGCGCTGCTTGTGGATGATTTTTTTTGTCTCGAGTAGCCCCTAAGACTTAGGTCAGAGGATTAGTTATGGTCCTACAGGATTCTATGACGTTTCCACCGCTGCTAAGACGACGTGGCGCTGTCAGGTGACTTTCTGTACTGTTCGTGTTGCTTGGCTTTTGCACTCCTGGTGCTGCGACAACCTCGTGCTTCGGGAGGCTAAAAGTCTTGCCGGTTTGTGTGCGTGCGTGTGTGCATTGAGATGCTTGAAGAGATTTGATGCAGACTTGACAGACTTCTGACAAACAGTAGTAACTTGAAGCGAATCAGACTTTTTACGATGGGACGTTTTACTGCAGTTGAGGATAGAAATTAAAAAACTTAAAAAAATACCTAAAAAATCGAAAAAAATAAAATCTTAAACATCCCAACCAATGTGCATTGCTTTGTGGTCTTTTGCCTGTTTGTAGCACTGGATTTTGAGTTCGCATTACTGGAATCTGCAAGACTATCGGAATATTCAAAGAAATGCATTACAATACAGGACAAGTTTCCTTTATTAAAATGTAAATTACACAATGCATGTTTGTATAAAATGTACAAAATTACCATAGATCACCTGCAGCTTTTTTGCACCTGTTTATGTAAGGTCACTTTAAAGCCAGTATGCGAGGGGCCAGTTCTGTAGTCTTCAGTTAACAAATGCATCGGTTTACACTTCATTGTAAAAGTGTACCTCTGCTTTACAATGAAGACACTAAATGATGCTGGAACCTGTTAGGTATCCACACTTTCCCGATCCAAGTAGTGATTTAAGCATTTACAATAATTCATACGAGCTTTGACCATACTAAACTGGGCAATGGGACAACTGAGAGGGCCTGGCACTTGGCTATCTTTAGCACAGATGTACAGTGCAACAAGCACCAGGCACGCAGATCCAGTGCATGCTCGAGCCCATCACTCTGGCCTTTCAAGCCAAAGTTAAACAAAAAATATAATTTCAGTCAAATCCGATGCACAGCTGTAGCGAAACAATTACATATTAATTTCCTTGCACATGCAATACAACTTGAAACACCAAGAGCAAAACTGACTTTACACATTCACAAGAACAATACTCTACAAAAATAAAATAAAGTTCAATTACATATTCCAGTCACAGGGGCGCGAGTTAAAGTCCACATCTAAAATGCTATTTCGTTAACTTGTTAATACAATGGATAAATCTAAAGAATGTTTAACACGACTACTGCTAATTGGGTGTTGGACACTTGCTTTGATTTTACACGCAGTTTTAGCAAAGGCTTCTTCATTGCATAAGGTTGCCTCTGCCAAATGTAATGCGAAATGCACGTCTTGACACCATAAAACACGATGTGGTATTTGGCACCAGCACAAATGGTGACAGTAAGTGAAATTGAACAAAACTACACATTTAAATTCTGATAACTTCAGAGCATCTGTGAAGACTTCACAATTTAAGACGATGGGGGTTGCCCTTGTGGTACTTTACACGTTTTCTGCAGATGCCTGAATGTATGGTGCTCTACTCAAAACAGTTAAGGCTTATTTCAGAAATGAGATTCATTTTGTTCACGAATCTTTGTAACTGCAGCACAAGAGACTTGATTCCACAGTTCGTGGTAGTCGCCAGCTGTACTGCTACTGTCTTTGGGGTGCAAGCACAGCCTCTCCAGCACTTTCCTGCAGTGCATCCCCCCCCTCCCAGTCTGAGAACAATGCATGCCCCTAGGTCAAATTACATTTGTAAACCATCAAACTTTGCTATAGGGTAAGTTACATACAGCTATCAGTTTTCTTACATTTGAATTCCTAAACTATGTACAGTCATCAAAACATTACTTGCAAATATGGCATTAAGCATTTTTTCCTCGTTCTTTTATTTAACAAAAAACTCTTAGGAAAATAATAAATACATGATTCGTCCCCAAATTGGGCTTAATTACAACATGTATGCAGCAGTGGTAATACTACCATAAGGTGCATGGATTTCAATGGTAACTTACACGGTTACATACCCAAAAGCATTGGCTCTACTGCTGCTCATTACAAAACAGTTCTGGCTAAAGTGCGTCACTCAAGCTTAAACCCTGGTTCTCCAGTTGAGCACAATCGCAGGCAAATACACGCCATCTTGGGTTTTTTAAAGCAAAACTAAGTTGAGTTTATGCTACAGTGTGGTTGATTATATTTTGAGCTTTGCCTGCAAATCCCCGGTTGGAGAAGATGGCTTGCTGGAAACACAAGTGCTACTCCAGAGGACACCAAGGTTTACTCCTTGGTAAACCTTTTGCGTTACATGTTGCCTGGGTTTATAAAATGTTTTCCCATTTACAGATAAAGAATTGTACAACTGATGTCTGCCCTGATCAACGCACCCAATTGCTCCCTCTGATAAGGCGTTACCATTGCTGTTACATTGGTCATCAGAGAGTGGGAAATGTGGCAGCTGGCAGACACCTGCTGTTCCCAAATAGATAAGACATTGCAGCCTTGGTACTGTATATACAAGGGTTCGATGTTCATTGACATTAAAATGGAAAAAAAAAACACCACCCAGCTTCAGTCCAATTGTAGGTGCCACAACAACTGGCCAATGTGAAACTAGTGGAGGCCCACACTTGTTATTCACCTTCACAGATTTATTTAGAACTGCTTTTTGTGATTAGTTTGTCCTTTCCTCGCACCTCCGATGAGCATGGTTGGCTACGTACGGTGCGAAAGAAATTAAATGTATATACGAACAAATGTAAAAAAATCCAATGCAAGCCTCTACCACCTTATCGATATTAATTTTCCAAAAACGAAAGCTAAACAATGTATCATGAAACAGATGTTATGGACGGTGGTTAAAAAATGGCAAGGAGAAACGGTTCATGGGTCAGGACTCGGCTTTCTAAATGCTACAACTGCCCTTCCACTTCACCTTAGCCCATTAAAGTATTTTCTCCATTGCCACCCACACTGTTCTTTATGCCCTTTGCCGCATACACTACTCCAAGGATGGGCACTTTCAGGTCCTGAAGACGTGCACCGCCCGCACCACGTACTGCCGGCAGATAGGGCACTCACTCATGCGCTTTCCGCACTTGGTGCACGTGACCATGTGGCCGCACTCGAGCAGCACGCAGTCGATGGGTGCATCCATGCAGATTTTGCAGGTGTTCTCATCCGGTGGCCCTCCGGTCAAACCTGGAGTAAGGATGCAGCGGTTTTAACCATGGTTACATTTTCCAGGGCTTCCACAGTGCCCAAGTTTCTTGTGTAAGCATTGTTCCAGACATCTGATGAAATGGCATGCAGTCGAGACATTCTTCACAATGCAATGGAAACTGCAAACAGCAGAGTTATGTAATACTTGACAATGAGAGACTTGTGAATAAGCTTCAGACTAGTCATGAAACCAATCACCCCCCACCCCCCCCAACTCGTTTCTCGTATTTTATTTTTCTGTCTTGTTTTTACAGTTTGCTCCATTAGCCCACGTATACCATTCCTTTGATGTCTCATTTGTGAAAACAATTTCACAGGCATAATTTGATGCGTGTACCTTGCACGAATGCATTAGCAGAATTAATAGAACTATCATTACATGTCTTCTCATTAGCGTGATGAACAGGGGCACAGATTTTTTTTCAGGTTTGCAGACTACTTTAACCACCACCTTTATTTCTCCCTCTAGATCTGTTGCACACATTTACAGAAATCACTGATGACCTCGTCCAATTTGGTCCCAAGGTCAGAATTCACATGCAGACACAGAGACCAACACCACGCTGATTTACCCAAGTGTTCCTCTTAAGATTCGACATTTCAATCAGTCATGATTTGCCCAGAGGAAAAAAAAAGTCACAGCAGTTGTTTACAGCAGCAGAGTCATGCACGTAAGCCCACTCACCTAGCACTGCAGTCCCAACCTCCCCCGCTTCTGTTGCCAAGAATAAAAAAAGAAACATTTAATGTACAATTGCTGAATTATGTATGAGGCCAAAAGTGTGATCCTCAGTGTAAAGGATAAGGATTTGTTTTTGATATGGCACTTTATACAGTGGGGCATCTCAAGAATGCTTTACAGCATGCCTCCATCTCACAAATTTGAAAGGGCACCCCCACTGGCAGCTGTCACTGAGCATAAGGTCATTCAGCACCTGGCCTGCAAACTGGCATTAGTCTGCCAGTAGGGGGGCGATAATTGCTGTGTCTAATTCCAATTGAATAATTGGCAGGTAATATTCAAATATGGCAAATTATAAGTATAATATTTTATTACCACAACAATCACTGATTTATACTTAAAATAAATGGATCAATCAGTCTTAATATTAATCCATAGAGATGAGCAAACAGCCCTATTAATGTCTATCCGCTCCAATAAACATCAAGTTCTGCAGGGATCATCGTTTTTCTACTGGGGTTGTGGTATGAGTGACCACCAAAGCTATAGGTGGATGATTGGTGGATGTGGATAGATCAGATATGCAACCAAAACAGCTGTAATTGCCAGTCAAGTCCCATGATGTTTAGCGGGAAATCAATGACATCCAGTGGGTTTACGGGGGTTGTGTTTTGACTTTGGCCCACGTCACACCGCGACCCTTTTTTTGTTATCACCGACTGAAACCGCAAGTCTGTCCACGCTCTCAGGTGGTCGTAGTGAGGACGGGGGGGGGGGGCACGCGTGGGGGACATTACCTGTCTTGTCGAGTTGCCGGGTGTCACGGTAGAGGCGGCGCACGCGCTCCTCCAGCTCCCAGCGCTCGCAGCAGCCCTTGTAATCGACAAAGTTGCGCCGCAGCAGCGTTTTCATCTCGCGCACCGTGAGCGAGGCGGCGTCGTCCTCCATGGAGAGATCCGACAGCGAGATGCGCAGCAGGCCCACCGGCATCTGTGCCATGCCACACGCAGTGGCAGCGGGGTGGGGGGGGGGGGGAGAGGTGGAGATCAATGTTCTTACTCCGGTTTTCCAAACGAATTCAAATAATTTGTGATGCTAACTTCACAGTGGTGCATAAGCACAAATAACAAAACACATTCATCAACGACAGTGCAGTAAAATTTTTAAAAAATAGATACAATGGACTTCTTCATAGCACATATAGAGGCGAGAGAGATTAAGTAAATAATCATTGGAGACTACACATCTTCTGCTATACATCATGGGACCCTGGGAGAAATTTAATTTCAAGAACATTTCCAGATGAACAGTTTTAATTTAGTATATGAAGACACCAATGAGTATTTAGAGTCAATTTCAAAACCACTAACAAAGGCACAAATCCCCCATATAGCCTTAACAGAATATTGGGGCAAGTGCTGTTACCAAACATCTATTAAGGCCAGAACTGCACAAGGGACTGGGTGGCCAGCACCACACCAGGCCGCCTTTGTCTCCCCAGTGCTGATGTTTACAGACCACATAATGCCGAGTCAACCTCGTGGAGGCCCAGGAACAGTTCAGATATTCGTCACCGATGTTGGGCGGTGAGCAGGAATCGAACTTACAGTGTGCCAACCACTACACTAACACTCCCCAACACATTCACTAATACACATACACACCTGTGTTTCTTCGTCTGCATCAATGTCTGCCACCAATGCATCTTCATCCCTCTCCGCAGGCTCCTCCTGCCCAGTGCATTTCACAGGATACATGAGGGAAATACCACTTCTCCACTGTACAAATCAGCCACACATGGCCTGGCTCAGCACGGCCCCGACTAATACGGTGAAAGGATATTTTTCCGCTACAGAAACCCAAGCTATGCCACTAATGTTACAGGCAATGAAAAAGTCAAGTTGCATGTATGTGACATGGTAAAGCTGTATCGTCATCAAAGCGTATTGACTGACGTCATATATAATGAATGCATCATTGTCTCCACCCTCAGCCGTGCTTGTGGCCCTGGGCAAGAATTGAATGTCTTGTGAGGCCAGAATATCACAGTTTGGTTTGAAAAATGGGTCAAAGTGTGATTGACAAGTGATGGCCAATCCAATCTCTTTGGTTAAACCCCCCTGTATTCATAAGCCAAGATCTACCGCTATAAAAAAATATTTCAAAGCCACCTCTCCCAGGGGAAGTGTTTATCCAATGCACCTGACTCAGTGGAATATTTTGGGCATGGAAACAAAAGCAACCTATGATTTCAGCTGCCACTGTTAATATTCCAACAGAGGAAAGCAAAATTATAGTTCAGGTTGACAATATGGTTCTATCCAGTGAATGTATCAAGCCCTTGAGCCGATTACTTGTCTTCCACATTTAAAACCTATGCTGGGACCATGCTGGGACCGTCCTGAGCCAGCCCGGTGTGGCCCCGAGCCAGATACGGATATTTTGTCAGGCCAGAGTAGCACAGCTTGGTTCCAGCTCAGCATGACAAATAGCCAGTGGAAAACTACCTGTACTGAACTCGGTTCGGATGTGCAGTGGAAAATGGTTATATACGATCCTGGGGATGTAGTGGTGGGCACCTCAGGCTGCGGTTCTACGTGTATGAAGGGCTGAGTGCTGGCTGGCTCCGTCTGCCGCACTGGCGAGGTGACCTGCTCATCTGTTGCCGGCACCGGTGCAACTGGCCGCCGGTGCTGTAGAACCAGCTCCACCAGCTCTTCCTTCTCTCGACACGTCTCCATGGCGATGCCGTGCAGAGAGAGGTAATCTCGGAGGTCTTTCACCTATACAGGGCCCAGGGGCACACGGCCAGAAAGTCTCTCGTCGTCTGTGTCATTTGGAAAAACCAGTTAATTTACAAATGTAACGGTACCCTTTGCTGCTGTACTATGGGATTTGGTTGTTGCTTGTAAAACATAACTATCAATCAATTACGTAGTTATTTAAAGGCATTATTGTAGCAGCATCCATTAAAAACGCATATAAACATTTCCTTGATAAAATCGCGTTTGTGAACACAACAGAAAATGTATACGTTTCTAAAAGTACCAAAATTATTACTCTGTGCTCACCTACTTGACAGGTTAACAAACTCGGTGATTACATAACAAGTGTGCTGGATGGAAGTCAAACCTTTGCCCTCATGAGGTTATCCTTGCTGAAGGAGGTGGCATAGAGGAGGTTGCATGTCTGACAGAGTAGCCCGCACGCTTCCGTCTGCTGCAGGCAGTCACTGCAGAAGGAGTGCTGGCAGTCTGTGCACGCTTGCTGGACACAAAGATTTTCACTAAACCCTCGATTCAGCAGTTATAGAAGACTTGCATATGCAACGCACACAAAAAAACATCACAGATCACCCCCCATTCAGCCTTACAGGGTATTAGCATCAGAAATCGAATTGAGGGGCTGGCATGGCCAGCACCACACCCCTGGCAACCTGTTTCCCCAGTGTTGATGTTTACACACAGCAATTAATTGCTTAAGGATGAGTCAACTTCTGAGACAATTAGGATATGTTTTATATTCCATTGCCACTGTCAGCGAATGGTCAAGTGGAAACCAGGTTACGCGAGGTTCGGAATGCAGTGTGCAAACCACTGTGCCACCACTCCCCAAATACACAAATTACATGATGAGGAACGACCCTGCGTATGCCTCTTGCCAGCCCGGAGCAGTACCAGTTAACAGGTACATAATCATCATCAGTCATCATAAATTCACTTGAGAATAATACCCTCCCCAAGCCATCACCATCTTCTCATGGTACTGCAATGCAAAAAATCCACCTAGCTCCTGCAAATGAGTCCATTGAATCGCTCCATATTCATGGTGGACATCCAACAGGTACATTGTACACACAAATACAAGCGCTGGCCAGTACACACCATCCAGGGACCTATCCGCTCACCGTCACCACTTCTGGCACACTATCGACAGGTGTCATGCCACGCTATTGCGTCCTTTCCTTAATTTATCCGCGGCTGACCTGCATGCCTTGTTGCCGACACCTCCGGCAGCCGGGTGGCTGGGGAGTGGTGGCGGGATGCGCGGTTGGCGCAGGTGCGAAGATGGGGTTCTGGCACCCAAAGCGGCGTGACGACGAGCGGTTCATGGGGTGCGGGCGGACGTGCGCCGACGGGAAGCGAGTGTCGATGACTTCCTCCAGCAGACCGCAGCACGATGCTCCCATCTCGGCCCTCCTGTCGGACAAAGCATATTACCGCTTAGCAAATACAAAGGACGGTTGTCACAATTTGTCACATTAACACCGGTACAGCAGTGTGATTCACTCCATCGGGTTTTTTTCCCTGACCAGTAAAACGATTATATCTTTCATACTGGTTAACGTTTCCACAAAACTATACTTCCTGTTTATACCATTATACCGGTCGGTTGTATCGCATACTATCAATTTATTCATAAATCTTAAGTGAATTAAAATGACTTAATTGCAATTTCTGACCACTACAAAAACACACACAAACATAATCACTGGCTTCTGTTGCACCAGAAGCCACTATCATTGGCTTCCCCTAACAAAAATAAAAATAAATGTAGTCTCACAGCTGACAGCGACACATTGTGTGGGGGTTCCTACTGCCAGGGTAACAAGCAACAAAGTCCTGTCTTTGTACGCGTATTTGGCCTGCCACACTCCACTCCGACCTTTGGTTATGATAGACGTCTCACAGTGCCCAGGAAAAAAGCGCAACTCTGGCGTTCTCTCCAATGTGAGCTGGTGTGGATTAAGTTCTCACGTATGTGGTTTCGCATCGTCCTGATCATTCCGATTAACACCACTGTATGGTTTCCCTGGGCTCTATTACTCTATTAGCCCGCTTAGTTTGATCACAATTTCCACCACAGGAAGCGGACGGCTTGGCACGTAATTCGTGAAGCCCGAGTCTTGGTGAAGGCCAGGTTCAGGTAAAAACCACCCCCCTGTAATACTGCAGTAATGACTGGAAAATCCAAAGACATTTAACCCTGGCCTGAGGCCGGGTTGTAGTAATACCCTTGGATGTTACACAAGTGCAGTTCACCGAGTACAATCGTTTTTCACAGAAATAAACTATTAATCTGATATCTATATACACCGTCCTGTTTAACGTGCCAACTCAGAGACGGTCGTCACAGCAGGCTTAGATGTGCTGTATCTGAGGACTTCCCCTAGCCGCTTTCCCTGTGTTTTCAGTGATGGTGAATACAACCAGAAGACAGGATGACAACACATTTTCCTGCGTGGCTGAGGATTAGTTCCACAGTCACTCGGGCTACACGGCCTGCAGCTAATGCTTTCAACCCCCCCATTCGCAGATGTAATTTGTGTGCGGCATCCTGTTCTCCTGTTGCGTCAGGTGCGGCGCAGGTGAAATTAGAGAGATCTGCCACAACCAGCTCGCACCAGATCCTACCGCCAGCTGGGAGTATGTCAGGTACATAATTGGGTAGGATGTCATTCAGACTGGGGGGTAGGATGTAATTCAGACTGGGAGCTAGGTTTGAAGTAATGAAAGTACCGTAGAGTTAAACATTTTGTCAATAAGGCAGAGTAACTGAAGATGCATCAAGCACAGAGTCAGACTGGAAATAATAATACTGATAGGGAGTCGGGCAGAGTAAGAGGATTGTGTAGGTATTATTTGAAGTGGAAAGGAAGGTAGTTACCATGGATGTAAGGTGAGCAGGGAGTCAAGAGAGAGAATCGGTGATTGTGTTTGGCAGGCAGTAAGACAGACTGGGAGTCAGTCAGGAACATACTAACTGGAAAAGGTAATAATTGAAGCAGGAAGTTAATGGATCAGAGCTTTATTAAACAGACTTAAGCTGACAATAATTAAAATGGGTGAGGAGGGGGGGTTATTGAACAAGGGAGTCAGACAAGCAGGCAAATAATAATTGAACTATGGAATAAATGAAACAGTCAAGAAGGCAGATAACAGAAGCAGGGAGTTATTTAAACAGCAAATACATTAATTAAAGAAGTAATCAAAATGGTTAATAATTTACGGCGGGGGAAGACTGGTAACACACTTTAAGCATGTCACTGTTGAAAGAAGACCTTCGGCAGATAACTGAATCAGGTTGACAATAAGTGAAGCAGGCAGGTTGATAGATAATTATTGAAGTTGGGCGTTCGTGACGCAGGGAGAAAGGCACGTATATCATTTAAACAAGCAGTGAATACAGCAAGACGTTAGGCAATAACTGAAGAAGAAAGCCAATATATTATTAAATGATGACAATGCTGGGAGTCGTTGCTCTCTCCTAACCACGGCTTCCATGGCCTGTACAAGCTTCCTCTTACTACACCCGTAGCTACTGGGGGGGACTCCCAACAACAATCACAGCAACAGCCACAACACGATCACCACATCGAACGGATCACAATCACAGCAACAACCACCAGCACCACTACGAAAATACCATTAACATAAACAACCACATCTCTACAACGGTAGAAACAACCCCGACAATCACTACGAACACTACTATAACAAACACAACAATAATCACAACACCAATAACAACCGCGACAGAAACAAGCAGCACAACCACAACATTAACAGCAACAACACCAAACACGACCACCATCAGCGCCACAGCAACAAGAATCACGGCAATAACCACCACCACCACCACAATCGCAGCAATGACCACGACGAACCACAGCAAACGCCACAAGAACAATCACAACCCCACAACCATCACAACACTCGCAACAACCATAGCGACAATCGCAACCACAAAACCAACCGTCACAACAACCACAGCAACAAACACAACCCCACAATCATAACCATCGCAACAGCCACAGCAACAATCACAACACAACCATCAAAACACTCACAACCACAGCAGCAATCACAACCCCAGAACCACAACCATCACAAAACCCGCAACAACAGCCACACAACCATAAAAACAGTCGCAACACCCACAGCAACAATCACAACCCCACAACAATCGCAACCACAACACTCGCAACCACTACGACAATCACAACTCCACAACCATCACAACACTCGCAACAACCACAGCAACAATCACAACTTCTGAACCACAACAATCGCAACCACTAAGACAATCACAACCCCACAATCACAACACTCGCAACAACAACAACCACACAACCATCAAAACACTCGCAACACCCACAGCAACAATCACAACCCCACAACCACAACAATCGCAACAACAACACTCGCAACCACTACGACAATCACAACTCCACAACCATCGCAACAACCACAGCAACAATCACAACTTCTCAACCACAACAATCGCAACCACTAAGACAATCACAACCACAACAATCACAACACTCGCAACAACCACAGCAACAATCACAACCACCACGACAATCACAATCACAACAATCGCAACCACTACGACAATCACAACCCTCGCAACAACCACAGCAACAATCACAACCACAACAATCACAACCACCACGACAATCACAACCACCACAACAATCACAACCACCACGACAATCACAACCACCACAACAATCAACCACCACGACAATCACAACCACCACGACAATTACAACCACCACGACAATTACAACCACCACGACCATCACAATAACCACGACAATCACAACCACCACGACAATCACAACCACAGCAACAATCACAACCACCACGACAATCACAACAATCACAACCACCACGACAATCACAACCACCACAACAATCATAACCACCACGACAATCACAATAACCACGACAATCACGACCACCACAACAATCACAATAACCACGAGAATCACAACCACCACAACAATCATAACCACCACAATAACCACGACAATCACGACCACCACGACAATCACAACAATCACAATAACCACCACCTTTAACCGCTACCGCGTTCGTGTTTAGATTCTCGCCGCGTCAACTTCCTCGTCTGCAGGCCCGGGGCCTCGGCTAGGCCGCTTCGTCTCTACGGCTCCTGCACCACCACCACCAACCACCACCGTCGCCAAACGCCGTCATTCGTCGTGGTTGCTCTTGATTATTGTGTTGCCGCTGGTGGTGCTGGTGGTGGTGGTGCAGGGTTTGGCGGGTGCCCACACTGCCTCTCACCTGGAGCCGCGGAGCGAGAGGCGTTCGAGGACAGAGACGGAGGAGAGGCGGCGGTGGCGGTGGCCTCCAGCAGGAAAACCCCGCGGCGTGACGTCACGCGGGGCGTGAGGTTTGGGGGGGGGGGGTGCGGGGGGGTTGCGGGGGGTTGCGGGGGGGGGATGACAATGGAATGAGATCGAGTCGGAGTGATGGTGACAATGGGATGAGTTCGAGTGAGGGGTGATGGTGACAATGGAATGAGTTCGAGTCGGAGTGATGGTGACAATGGGATGAGTTCGAGTCGGGGTGATGGTGACAATGGGATGAGTTCGAGTCGGGGTGATGGTGACAATGGGATGAGTTCGAGTCGGGGTGATGGTGACAATGGAATGAGTTCGAGTCGGGGTGGTGGTGACAATGGGATGAGTTCGAGTCGGGGTGATGGTGACAATGGGATGAGTTCGAGTCGGGGTGATGGTGACAATGGAATGAGTTCGAGTCGGGGTGGTGGTGACAATGGAATGAGTTCGAGTCGGGGTGATGGTGACAATGGGTTGAGTTCGAGTGAGGGGTGGTGGTGACAATGGAATGAGTTCGAGTCGGGGTGATGGTGACAATGGAATGAGTTCGAGTGAGGGGTGATGGTGACAATGGAATGAGTTCGAGTCGGGGTGGTGGTGACAATGGAATGAGTTCGAGTCGGGGTGGTGGTGACAATGGAATGAGTTCGAGTCGGGGTGATGGTGACAATGGGTTGAGTTCGAGTGAGGGGTGATGGTGACAATGGGATGAGTTCGAGTCGGGGTGATGGTGACAATGGAATGAGTTCGAGTGAGGGGTGATGGTGACAATGGAATGAGTTCGAGTCGGGGTGGTGGTGACAATGGAATGAGTTCGAGTCGGGGTGGTGGTGACAATGGAATGAGTTCGAGTCGGGGTGATGGTGACAATGGATGAGTTCGAGTGAGGGGTGGTGGTGACAATGGGATGAGATCGAGTGAGGGTGATGGTGACAATGGGATGAGGTCGAGTCGGGGTGATGGTGACAATGGGATGAGTTCGAGTGAGGGTGATGGTGACAATGGGATGAGGTCGAGTCGGGGTGATGGTGACAATGGGATGAGTTCGAGTCGGGGTGATGGTGACAATGGAATGAGATCGAGTCGGGGTGATGGTGACAATGGGATGAGTTCGAGTGAGGGGTGATGGTGACAATGGGGTTAGTTCGAGTCGGGTGGTGGTGACAATGGAATGAGTTCGAGTCGGGGTGATGGTGACAATGGGATGAGTTCGAGTCGGGGTGATGGTGACAATGGGATGAGTATGAGTAAGGGTGATGATGACAATGGGATGAGATCGAGTCGGGGTGATGGTGACAATGGGATTAGTTCGAGTCGGGTGGTGGTGACAATGGAATGAGTTCGAGTCGGGGTGATGGTGACAATGGGATGAGTTCGAGTCGGGGTGATGGTGACAATGGGATGAGATCGAGTGAGGGGTGGTGGTGACAATGGGATGAGATCGAGTGAGGGGTGGTGGTGACAATGGAATGAGTTCGAGTCAGGGTGATGGTGACAATGGAATGAGTTCTAGTGAGGGGTGATGGTGGCAATGGAATGAGATCGAGTGAGGGGTAGTGGTGACAATGGGATGAGATCGAGTGAGGGGTGATGGTGACAATGGGATGAGATCGAGTGAGGGGTGGTGGTGACAATGGAATGAGTTCGAGTCGGGGTGGTGGTGACAATGGAATGAGTTCGAGTCAGGGTGATGGTGACAATGGAATGAGTTCGAGTCGGGGTGATGGTGACAATGGAATGAGTTCGAGTGAGGGGTGATGGTGACAATGGAATGAGTTCGAGTCGGGGTGATGGTGACAATGGAATGAGTTCGAGTCAGGGTGATGGTGACAATGGGTTGAGTTCGAGTGAGGGGTGATGGTGACAATGGGATGAGTTCGAGTGAGGGGTGATGGTGGCAATGGAATGAGTTCGAGTCGGGGTGATGGTGACAATGGGATGAGTTCTAGTGAGGGTGATGGTGACAATGGGTTGAGTTCAAGTGAGGGGTGGTGGTGACAATGGGATGAGTATGAGTCAGGGTGATGGTGACAATGGGATTAGATCGAGTCGGGGTGATGGTGACAATGGGATGAGATCGAGTGAGGGGTGATGGTGACAATGGGTTGAGTTCAAGTGAGGGGTGGTGGTGACAATGGGATGAGTATGAGTCAGGGTGATGGTGACAATGGGATTAGATCGAGTCGGGGTGATGGTGACAATGGGATGAGATCGAGTGAGGGGTGATGGTGACAATGGGTTGAGTTCGAGTGAGGGGTGATGGTGACAATGGGATGAGATCGAGTGAGGGGTGATGGTGACAATGGAATGAGATCGAGTCGGGGTGATGGTGACAATGGGATGAGATCGAGTGAGAGGTGATGGTGACAATGGGTTGAGGTCGAGTGAGGGGTGATGGTGACAATGGGATGAGTTCGAGTCGGGGTGGTGGTGATAATGGGATGAGTTCGAGTCGGGGTGATGGTGACAATGGGATGAGATCGAGTCGGGTGATGGTGACAATGGGTTGAGTTCGAGTGAGGGGTGATGGTGACAATGGGTTGAGTTCGAGTCGGGGTGGTGGTGACAATGGAATGAGTTCGAGTGAGGGGTGATGGTGACAATGGGATGAGTTCGAGTGAGGGGTGATGGTGACAATGGAATGAGTTCGAGTCGGGTGGTGGTGACAATTGAATGAGTTCGAGTCGGGGTGATGGTGACAATGGGATGAGATCGAGTGAGGGGTGATGGTGACAATGGAATGAGGTCGAGTCAGGGTGATGGTGACAATGGGATGAGTTCGAGTCGGGGTGATGGTGACAATGGGATGAGATCGAGTGAGGGGTGATGGTGACAATGGGATGAGTTCGAGTCGGGGTGATGGTGACAATGGGATGAGATCGAGTGAGGGGTGATGGTGACAATGGGATGAGATCGAGTGAGGGGTGGTGGTGACAATGGAATGAGTTCGAGTCGGGGTGGTGGTGACAATGGAATGAGTTCGAGTGAGGGGTGATGGTGGCAATGGAATGAGATCGAGTCAGGGTGATGGTGACAATGGAATGAGTTCGAGTCAGGGTGATGGTGACAATGGAATGAGTTCGAGTGAGGGGTGATGGTGACAATGGAATGAGTTCGAGTCGGGTGATGGTGACAATGGAATGAGTTCGAGTGAGGGGTGATGGTGACAATGGAATGAGTTCGAGTCGGGGTGATGGTGACAATGGAATGAGTTCGAGTCAGGGTGATGGTGACAATGCGTTGAGTTCGAGTCGGGGTGATGGTGACAATGGGATGAGTTCTAGTGAGGGTGATGGTGACAATGGGTTGAGTTCAAGTGAGGGGTGGTGGTGACAATGGGATGAGTATGAGTCAGGGTGATGGTGACAATGGGATTAGATCGAGTCGGGGTGGTGGTGACAATGGGATGAGTTCGAGTGAGGGGTGATGGTGACAATGGAATGAGATCGAGTCGGGGTGATGGTGACAATGGAATGAATTCGTGTCAGGGTGATGGTGACAATGGGTTGAGTTCGAGTGAGGGGTGATGGTGACAATGGGATGAGTTCGAGTGAGGGGTGATGGTGGCAATGGAATGAGTTCGAGTCGGGGTGATGGTGACAATGGGTTGAGTTTGAGTGAGGGGTGGTGGTGACAATGGGATGAGTTCGAGTCGAGGTGATGGTGACAATGGAATGAGTTCGAGTTGAGGTGATGGTGACAATGGGATGAGTTCGAGTGAGGGGTGATGGTGACAATGGGTTGAGTTCGAGTGAGGGGTGGTGGTGACAATGGAATGAGATCGAGTGGGGGTGATGGTGACAATGGAATGAGATCGAGTGGGGGTGATGGTGACAATGGGTTGAGTTCGAGTCGGATGATGGTGACAATGGGTTGAGGTCGAGTGAGGGGTGATGGTGACAATGGGATGAGTTCGAGTCGGGGTGATGGTGACAATGGAATGAGTTCGAGTCACGGTCATGGTGACAATGGGTTGAGTTCGAGTCGGGTGGTGGTGACAATGGGATGAGTTTGAGTGAGGGGTGATGGTGACAATGGGATGAGTTTGAGTGAGGGGTGATGGTGACAATGGGATGAGTTCGAGTGAGGGGTGATGGTGACAATGGGTTGAGTTCGAGTCGGGGTGATGGTGACAATGGGATGAGTTTGAGTGAGGGGTGGTGGTGACAATGGGATGAGTTCGAGTTGGGGTGATGGTGACAATGGGTTGAGTTCGAGTGAGGGGTGATGGTGACAATGGGATGAGTTCGAGTCGGGGTGGTGGTGACAATGGGATGAGTTCGAGTCGGGGTGATGGTGACAATGGGATGAGATCGAGTCCGGATGATGGTGACAATGGGTTGAGTTCGAGTGAGGGGTAGTGTCGCGGTTAGCGTGCTGCACTACCGGACCCCTGACCATCCGAGTTCGATTCCCGCTCACGGCCAACACCGGTGACGATTATCTGAACACGGTCTGGGCCTCCTCTAGGTTGACTCGGCCTAAAATGTGTACCCGGTGCAGTGTATAGTAAATATCGCCACTAGAGAGACAAAGGCGGTCTGGCGTGGTGCTGGTCACCTACCCCCGTCGTGTGCGGTGCCGGCCTTTATAGGTGCTGCTCCAAAACAGCATTTGCCCCAACATTCTGATAAGGGTATACGGGGATCATTGTCTTTGGTGGCGGCACTAGTAGGGTGTGATTTGGGTGATGGGGCTGTGATTGTAATGGTGGTGGGAGTAAGGAAGGTTAATGGTGGGTGTGAAGAGCTATGTTGCTGGTGACAAGGAGTGATGGAGCGGGGACTAGTGGGGGCTATAATATTTGCGGTAAAACGGTGTGTTGGGGATGGTGATAGGGGTAGGTAGAATGGTAGGGGTAGATGGTAGTGATAGGCTGTGCTGCTCGTGGTGGTGATGGGTCTGTGATGGTTGTAGGGATGATTTGTGGGCTAATGATCGTAGGGCGTGGAGACTGTCGATATGGTGACGTTATGATGATGATGGGGGTAATGAGGCTGTGTTGGTGGGGTAATAAGTGTAGTGGTGGAAATAGAATGGTAGGGGTGGATTTATGAT